CTTCCGCACAACGATCAACACATGCGACCCAGACGTGATCCGCAGCGTTCTGGCGCTTCAGTTCCATGACTTTGGAATGGGCCCTCTGCGCCGGAACAGTGCCTCGCCTCTTCTTGGGAAGGGTATCTTCACCACTGATGGCGATATCTGGGCCCATCAGCGTGGACTGATCAGGCCTGCCTTTGCGAAGCTGCAGTTCAACGAGTTTCCCTTGCTTGCCATGCACACAGACGAGTTTCTCGGCGTTATTAAGAGGCACAATTACGAACTAGATCTTCAACAATTGTTCTTCCGTTCTGTAAGTATTTTAGACCTATCTTAGCATCTTATTTTGTTCCTAACTAACCTCATTATCAGGTCCTCGACTCTAATACTCTGTATTTGTTTGGCGAGTCCATTGGACTCATGCATGACAATGCGACAGATGCCGCCACTACACTTCACCATGCCTTGGATTATGCCCAGCAGGGCACTATCCTTCGCCTGCGTCTAGGCAATCTCATGTTCGCCCACCGTGATCAGAAGTTTCGCGACTCATGCAAGACTGTACACTCGTACGCTCAGAAGTTTGTGGATCAAGCCCTTGAATTCCGCCGGAAGAATGCCCACCTCCCTGTGGAGAAGTGGGAACATCCTAGGAACCCCAATGGCATCCAAACCTACATCTTCCTGCAGGAGCTGGCTAAGGAGACGGACGATCCGATCCTTCTGAGAGACCAGGTAGTCAACATGATCCTGGCCGCTCGAGACACCACCGCAGGCCTACTGAGCTTCACTGTCTTCATGTTGGCCAGATTCCCTGAAGTCTGGAAGAAGACAAGGGCGGATGTGCTTGAGAACTACTGCGAGCCTCTGACCTACGATGCCCTCAATAGCATGACCTACCTGCGATACGTGATCCAAGAGAGTAAGTCATATATCATCACCTGCCTGAAATGAGAGATTCTAACACGTATTGAAGTCCTCCGTCTTTTCCCTCCCATCTCAACCAACAGCCGAATGGCCAACAAAGACACCGTCATTCCTGTTGGAGGTGGTCCGGATGGAAAGTCGCCGCTGTTTGTAGCGAAGAACCACGTCGTCACCTACAGCACCTTCGTCATGCACCGCCGCAAGGAGTTCTTCGGCGAGGACGCAGATGAGTTCCGCCCAGAGCGGTGGGAGACGCTACGAACAAGCTGGGAATACCTGCCATTCAATGGAGGACCCCGGATATGCCCTGGCCAGAAGTTTGCCCTGGCGGAGGCCACTTACACCATCGCCAGGATGGCCAAGGCATACAAGGAAATTATCAGTCTGGATGATACCGACTGGAGGGAACAGCTGACGCTGTCACTGACCCTGAACAACGGTGTTCACTGCCGTCTGGTTCCCGATGACCAATGAGTGTAGGCTGGAGTAAGAGTATGCAGGACCTGATAACCCCACCTGGAAGACCCATCTTTTCATTTTTATTTTTAAATTCTTTTGTAATTATTGCCCTTTAGGGATTAGAATTGTTATATTAGTATGATATCATTGAAGACAAATGGAGGACTTAATGCCGTGATGCCTAATGTAAAAGATATGTTAGCTTAGACTTGCCGGCTTGCCTACATAAAATTACGCCTGGTGTAAGCACTACGTTTGATGCATGTATGGAAGAAGAAGGAGACAACTCACCTGCTAATGTAATAGAGGCAGGAAGACGCTTACTGTCCTTCTTAACTGAGAAGTGATTGGCTACCTTAGTGCCGTGACGAATTACTATTTCTGATTTCCAACGGTAGCTGCCTAATTTTTGCTTCTATCGAGGGGCTGGGGCTATTATGCACACGCCCCCTCCACCAGATGTGTCGATGTAACGTAGCCGACCTACTTAATACGATGTAAGCGCAGGAGCCGAGACCAGGATGTGAGATCCTTTAACCGTTCCAGACCCGCCAACCGCACCTCCAACATGCAGCAGGGATAATTAGAAGGACTTTAGTCAGTTTTATGAACACCTTTGTTTTTGTGTTTTCACCATGCACGTTGGTTGAGGTGAGTCAAAGTTATGCTCTTTATGAATAATGAGAGAATATCCCCCTTTAACTGAGGATGAACTTGAAAATACTTGTAGATAATATCATATTGAAAACAATGTACAAGTAATCCATATCGTATATAATAAATAAATACTTCTAAAGTAGTAAGAATCTAGTTAAAAGGGGACGAGTGAGATCATAAGGAGGCTAGAGCATTGTGAAATATGGGCTGATTTTAGTATAAGGATTGCTTAGGACGGCACTCACCCAATTAATCCATCCAGTGCCCCTATTAATACTCTTATACAGAACACTGTGACACGCTTCATTTGATCACTCGCTACATTGACACATACTCTCAATGCAATAATGGATTCTACCAAAGCGACTCCCAAACACACCTTCACTCAGCGTGCTGCTGACGGGAACTTGGGTGATAGCGAGATCCTTAACTCGAACAATGAAGCTGGGCCAAGCCCACCCAAAGATGCAGATGTTGTCGTCACCGGCGGTGGTATACATGGATTAATCTATGCCATCCACTTGGCAACGCATAAGCCAGGCAAGCTCAAGGTTTCCCTTGTCGAGAAGAACCAAAAGCCCGGGTACAAGATCGGGGAGAGTACTCTTCCCCTGTTCTCCATGTGGCTCAAGATGCACGGCCTAACGGGGACGTACCTCTTACGCATCTTTGGGGTGAAGGACGGTTTTGGGTTCTACTTCCTCGATCGAGAAAATCAGGGGAACTACACCGTCCTCAAGAGCTTTGGCACGCCTGCTCCCCACCTGAGTGGCTATCAGCTTGAGCGCCCCATCAGTGAGCTTCTCCTCACGTTGTTTGCCCAACGAAACGGGGTCAATGTCTACCACGGTCGCACTGTCGATTTCAAAGCCTCCAAAGTTCAAGGCGGGATCAAAAACACCAAGATTGAGGTCGCCGAAGGACGCCAAGGTCAACCAGCAGCGAGCATTGACACATCATTGCTCATAGATGCAACTGGTCGCTTTCGCCAGCTTGCGTCCAAGAATGCGTCCTTGCACCGCTTTGAAGGGTGGAACTACGATGCCTTCTGGGGCTACTTTACGTTCCCCGAGGATGAGAGCAAGATCAACCTCCGCAATTTCGAGGGCTGCCACACCAACCACTTTTGCTTCCCCGAGGGCTGGTTCTGGGTGATCCGGATTCTGTCATGGGAAGGCAGCCCAACTGCGAACCTCATGGATATGCTCTCGTATCTGCTCGACTGCGCAGAAAAGGGTGTCCCCGGCGACCAGGTGCCAAGCACAGCTGAGCTCGCCAAGATGTTCGGTCTCACCTACCGCTGGGTCACAAGCATTGGCGTCGCCTGCCGCAACGATGTCAAGTACCCAGAGGATATAGAGACATACGGCTCGACCGAGGCAGAGCGCAAGTTCAATTACTTTGTCCGCAAATACTCCGTCATGTCCGAGTTCATGACCAACTTTGAGCTCATTCAGGACCTTTACGGCCCGCGCACCACCTGGTTTGTCCGCAAGACCCTCACCTATCAATCTCCCGTGGTTTCCGGCCCTGGCTGGGTCGCTATTGGCGATGCTACTGGCTTTACCAACCCTCTCTTCTCCCCGGGAATTACGGCAAATATGTCGACATCAACATTTGCCGCCGAGCTCACCCACAAGGCGATCGAAGCAGCTGAGAAGGAGAGTACCGTGGACCTTGCCGAAGCATCAATCCGCTCGACGCTGGCTCCTTATGACGAGTTTACCAAAGCCCTCGTCCCGGGATTGAACCAGATGAATTGCTTCAACTACGTCTGCTTCCGTGACCCCCGACTGGGCCCCCAGGTCTCGTCCATGTGGCAGAACCTGGCCAGCGCTATTGGAGGATTCGGATCCGTCGTGAAGAACTTCACCTTGACGCGAGAGACTTTCCTGCCATACGCCCTCAGATGGCGCTGGGGCTCTGCAGTCGAAGAATATATCGCGGTTGCGCAACATGCTATCGATCTTATCAAGCCGATCCCGCTGGAAGAGCCCGTGCCAGACGCCATCGTGCTCGATATTATTGACTTTGCCAACAAGATGAAACCGAAGGCCCAGAAGGTTCTGGCGGACAGAGGCGCGAATATCCGATGGGGAGGTTTCTTCAGTTGCTACGATCACGATCTCAATTACCTCGAGGACAAGACACATGGGGATAATTTTACCCGTAGATGCTCTCACTGCGGGTCGTGGTTTGTGCTTCGTCCAGACTGGACACTGTGCTATACCTGTGGAATGGAAAGGACGGCAGAACAGGCCACAATCACATGGTATCCTCCTGCACCTGCGGGGATGGCTTAGATTATGGCTTCATTAGTGATGGAGATGATGATGTGATGGTTTAGTGATAGAGACGATATTGATGTAATTGAACAGGGCTACATAACGGGCATTCTGGAATCATTAGTTGTGACCAATCGCTGCAGTTCTCTCGTTTCCGCCAAGTAGTGAATGCGCATGGGAACTCGACGGATATAACATCGGGTGCTAAATGCAGCATAGCTAGAAGTAGAATCATGAATACAGTGGAATATCTGCTCTCGTCGGCGAAGCAGCCGATAAACAGGTCATCCCATTGCTGACTGTCACGTCGGTCACTTCGGTCACTTCCGCCGATATCACCTCGCCGCAGGATGTCGGATCAAGTATTCCCTCCTTTCAAAGCCTGTGTCTCATGGTATGTGGAGTTATCTGTATTTTGTACGTCCAACGGGTACATATCTGGTGTCGATGCTACATGGAGGACCGTCGGCCACTTCACCGTAGTGGCCGACAGCGTAATATATCTGCTCACCAACCTCGGTATGGTGGTGATTTCTTCTGAATGTACTACGATCGACCACAAACCAGCGACTCCCTCAACATGATACACTATGCTTCGAATATCATAAATAAGAAAAGGCGCTGCCTTCGTTGTTCCTAATTGCTGTCTTGGTCCTTAAGCTACCCAGCATCCACAGAAGATACAAAATGTCGAACTCCTCCTCAACGATTGCCGCAAATGCTGACACTGCCGATTCTAGGAGGCGCGGACCTCCTGTGAATAACGGCGGCCTCAGTCTCTGGCAGCAAAGCACACGGTCTTACTCGAATCTCGAAGCGAACAGGAACAGCATTCTGCCCTCAGAGTCGAAATATGTTGTAATCGGTTCCGGTATTGCCGGTGGACTGTTGACCTACGAACTGATTCAAGCTGGTGTGCCTGGAGAAGACATCCTCCTCTTAGAGGCCCGCGAGGCCGCCAGTGGTGCAAGCTCCCGAAACGCTGGCCACGTGCGACCCGGTATTACGACATCTTCACCTTTGAGCACAAGTCCTTTCTACCCGCCCAGCTAACAGATGTGACAGATGCATTTCGGGGTTTCGAGACGTACGCGGAGCATCACGGCAAAGAACAAGCACTTAAGATCCTAGCAAACGAGCGCGTCGTTCTCGAAAAGGTGAACCAGTTTGTTCGCCAGCACAACGTTCCGTGCGACTTCAACTACACTACCACGTTCGAATGCTGCATGACGCCCGAGTTTGCCGACTACGAGAGGAGGAACTACGATGCCTTCCGAAGGGCTGGGGGTGATGTGTCCCATGTCAAACACTATACAGGGGAGGAGGCGGCAAAGAAGACCGGGATCGCGGGGGTTGTTGAGGCATACGAGTGGCCAGCTGGATCAAGTCATCCGGCAAAGCTGGCTCAGTGGCTTTTAGATTCGGTCATCGAGAAGGGCGTGCGACTGTACACGTACTGCCCGGTGGTTCGAGTGACGGAAGACAGATCCTTGGGAAAGAATACCAGCATCTCCTCTCCGCTCTGGGACGTGCACACCCCTCGCGGCACCATTCGGACAGCCAAGGTGGTTTACTGCACAAATGGATTCACTGGCCATCTGCTCCCACAGCTCGCCCCCCATATTGTTCCATACCGTGGGCAGGCACACGCCATTGTTCCGGTCCCTACGTTCACCGGTTCCAAGATGCTGCGCAGCACGTACTCTCTGCGATATTCCCTGAATCACTATTATTCCATCATTCAACGCCAAAGTGATGGTACCATCATTCTGGGGTGCTCGCTCCCCAATCCTGAACTCCCAGCGGAGGTGATTCGGGGTGTACGGACAATAGACGACACGCAGTTCAACAAGGCCATCAAGGACGATGCCTTGAGCCATTTCAAGGCTTTCTTTCCGAATATGGGCATTGAACACGCCGTCCACGGGGAGGGCCTCGCTCACGTCTGGAACGGCATCGTTGGCTTAACAAGCGACGAAGTTCCCTTCCTAGGCCCTATTGATGATAGACCCGGCCAGTTTGTTTGCGCCGGATTCAATGGCCATGGTGCGTATCTCAGCCCGCTACACAAGATAATCAATATGCTAACTAAGCAGGCATGGCACGTATATTTACGAGTGCACCCGGTGTAGCCAAATTGATTCTGGGTCGCCCTTGGGCCGAGACGGGACTGCCTGAGTGCTTCAAGTTCAGCCAGGCACGGCTTGATAAGCTCTCGAGTTCGCTCAAGGTGACAGCGAAGTCGAAGATGTAGATTATGGGCTTAACGGCGGATATAGTAGCAAATGCAGGATAAGCAATATATATATGAGTGTCTCGAATCCAATGTCATCCAGCCACGTCGTAACCTCAATTATTAGATACCTGGTAGGTACTACCTTACTAATGTGAATGATAGCGGTTTTGATTGGGGCATTGCCGATAATTCAAATACCTGAGCCTGCGACATCGCTCGGTCCCGCTCAGCTCCGACCTTCACTAGCCCTTGGCATCTCTGCGGAACAAAATGTCAAGGATAAGACCGCGGAATGTCGCGTGCTGCAATTGCCACAGACAGAAGGTCCGATGCAATGGAGGTAAGAAGTTCCAGGTAGAGCAGGGCATCAAGGCCTATACTCACATCATACGCAGAGCACCCATGCCAGAGATGCAGCTCAAGAGGGATCGAATGTCTCTATTCCATCAAAGACAAGGCCATCCTTGTCCCCGAGGACTACTTGCGGCGCATAGACAGTTCATTGAATGAGCTGAAAGAAATGATGCAGAGAAACAGCTCTCTTATCTCGACCACCCAAGCCAGTACCGATGCTGTAGCGGATTCAAGTGAACGGCCTCACGGGGATCATAGTGTAGCTGTCCAAGCGCTTGTCGACGATTCGACGCCCGAGTCCTTCATCCGCAAGATGAGAGAGGTTCTCCAACCCGGCAATCAAACGAGCAGCAATGTGTGGTCCACGGGGCTGTCGCCGATATTCCCAGGCAGTCAGAGCTCAGCCAGCCTTGGTTCCGCACCGGATCAGCAGCGGTACACAGTTATGCGATTTGACAGCCTTCGTAGGTTGAATGCGGTCTCAGGTATCCCTCCCCGACATTGTGCTTTGACTAATTGGATCTGCCTCCGCAGAAACGAATCTCGACTTCAAACTCCCTACATATTCCTATGCCGTAAAAGTGGTCACCGTAGCAGAGCGACTATTTGGGGACTATCACACATTCCTGCGCAAGAGCTTCTGGAGGGATCTTCATGGGACATACACAGACTTCCAGTCATACTCAGCCAACCGGAATTGGCTCTGTAGACTGTCGCTCATCTTGGCTATTGCAGAAGCTGGTGCAGCGAACGATTCGTCAATCGCCACTACTGTATCATCGAGAGAGGAGAATGCTTCCTCTACTTCGGAAATTGATCAAACGACCCCTTCGGCCCTATCATCAGGGATTGAGCTTTTCGAACAAGGCCTCCTCATGCTCAAGGTCTCGTACGAGGAGCCAACTGTGGATGATATCGAGGCTCTCAATCTCGCTGTTTGTCCCATCCTCTATCTATGTATGGTCGTCCATCTGCTGACGTTGATTGGGACAGTCTCATTGCAGTTACATCCTCAATCGCCGAAAATCCGCATACATGTACGCAGGTCAAAGTATTCGTCTGGCGCGCAGCCTCGGCCTCGATAGACCTGCACCATCATCACTCTCCAATATCGAGCGGGAGCACAGAAAGCGTGTTTGGTGGACTGCATTTTGCATTGATCGATCAACCAGTGCCGAGCTCGGTTTATGCCCTGCCTATGCTCGCAAGTCCGACAGTCTCGACCTCCCCGACTCGAGGTCTCTCACCTCAGAGGAAAAGGAAGAGTTCTACCCCGCAGAACTGTTGAATATGCAAATCAAAGTGTGCGAGATGAAGAGTGACGTGATCGAAACAGTGAGCACACTGAAGAATAAAGACATCGAGCGCCCGTACGAGATCATTGGGGAGTGCTTAGACCGGCTGAATAGAGGCAGAGAGGCCTTCCCGCGCGACCTATGTTCGTCTAGCAATATTCAGCAGGAATACAGCCATTTAGACGTCCGTGTATTGTCATCAATGGTGCTGCGGTACAATCAGGTATCTTATACGTTGTCTGCTCTCCCAACATTACCCTCGAATTCATGTTAATAGCTTCACTTCAGTGCTACATACTCCTCCTTCGCCCGATTCTGCTCCATCAATTCGCTTTCATTCTGCGCAATGATGGTGTCATTACCCTCTCAGACGACATTCGCTCCATCAATCAAATCTGTCTCGAGGCCGCGCGGAGCAACGCGAAGATCCTGCTTAACTTGGCTGGCTCACAGAAGCTAGGTAGACCTTGCCTTTTCCTGGCTGTTTCCTTAATTCCAAGATGCTAATTAATCCAATACAGTCAAATACGGGTACTGGGACTCCGTCCACCTCTTCTCTAGTCTGATGATCCTGAACCTTGCCGGTCTCATAAACCGCAGGCGCCAGGGCGCTGACCAGTCAAGCAAAAAGGGGACGGAAAATGACGATTCGATGTATCAGCAGGGCCGTCGCATTCTGCTTGAATTAGCAGAGGCAGGGAACGTCCCCTCAAAACATCATCTGAGCATGCTTGAAGAAGTAGAGGCGATCGGAGAGATTCACGCGTGGCCGGAAGACAGCGCCCTTTCCGGGTCAGAGAACGTTGGGATCGAACTGGGCTTCGACAACTGGGGCGAGCTAATAGTTCCTCCAGATCTGAATTTCGACCTTTTTAACCCGTCCTCCTCATATTTCCAATACATGTAAAGGAAAGAAATACACACGCGCCGTATTGCCAGGAGCCAAATGAGATTGACCAATGAGAACGCGTCTATAAGTGGATCTGACGCGTGAAGCCACCACAACATAAACAACATCACGAATTGAAAGATTTTGGAAGGTTCAACGGCCAACTGTCGATAAGAAAGATATTTAGCTAGTTTCATGTTAGCAGTAGCATAAAATCTACTCATACTCAATCCTCTAAGTTATCTACGCTGTATTTTGTTCTGCTAATATAGAGACTTGATGGGGAAATTTTTAAGTGTATTGAATAACCACGCCATGCGTCGAGCCTTTATAATAAAAAGCGACGACGAATAATATCTAAAGCCAGAGCAACTTATTTTGCCTCAGACAGTGGCTTTAATGATCATTTTACTTAGTATATGATTTAATCATCTCTCAATAACGTTCTCTCATTACCTTTGGCAAACATAGCAAGTTGTTGTGCTACACCAATACGCTATAGGGTAGGCATGCTCAACATGGCGTTGGGTACCTGTTTCAATCGGAGAGAAAAGTGAAATGGCCGGCTTACAAAGCAAAGGTACGTGCCTCTGATTTGATCCACCATCGGCCAAATCGGCCACCGACACCGATGGGGGCTTGCCTTTGCCGAAGAGCCAATGGTTGGACGTAGATAAGCCGAGGCTCATCAGTCGGCCAAATCGGAGGAACTGGCCGACGATTTGCACTTTGATGCCAGACAAGGAATGGTGCAATCAATTCGCCCCGCTCTCCAATTTGTTGGCTTCGGTTATCTGTTTGTCTGTTCATCAGCCAGCAACGAGGAAGGGCTGTCTGTCTCAGGTTAGTCTAAATTCGTGCCTTCAATGAACTACAATTGTGAGGTACCTGGATCAATATCTTAGAGTGAAGAATGGTTATAAAACTTTTATGAAATTTTCACAACATATCCTTTTCCTTGTCTAGGTGGAATTATCACACAAAGGCAGCAGTCACCTGTTCTTCAAGGCCTGGAAAATAGCTAGAGTAAAACGATGGCCAGCGTACAAGTTTGCCTTTTCATGAAACAATAGATGATAAGAGGCCGTGAATCATGTATAAGAAGATAGAGCATTGGCTCTTGCGTTTGTAAGCGTACAAGGTCACACAGAGTGTCTAACATGCATATAGTTGGAGGGGCGCTGGAGGAGCTAAAGAAAGCCATAATAGCCCTATCAAACCTTGTGGCACTACTCCAAAGTTGCTCTTGTGTCATGCGGGGAAGATTTAGTGAGAGGCCCCCACAAGACACAGGAAAGGAGGAGAATACGATAGATAAGAACGATGACCCCAAATCTACAATCGCACGATATTGATCCGAGCCAACTCACCCAGTGCATGGCAATGGCTAAGGTTACCCAAACTACAGCGAAAAGAAAGGCTAGACGTCATAGGACGGGTTGTTGGACATGCAAAGGTAAATGAAGAAGTAATTTCATTACTATTCGGCTAACAGTTGAACAGAACGTAGGGTCAAGTGCGATGGTGAGTGGCGATGATGAGGTGACTGGATCGACTGGTTAATAACACAACCTAGAGACCCGACCATTGTGTCTTGCTTGTGAGCGTCTTGGACTACCGTGTCGCTATGGACTTCAGCTCCTTTGGCGCGAGGATGCGCTCACACGAGGAATCGCGTTGGGACGGTCTGGTACGTTCTCTCAGCCGGAATCATCCCAATATTCCTCTGCCTAGTTGAGTAGCTCATATGCTGTAGGAACGCGGTCTAGAAAGAGAGGGCGATCGACCCAAAGGCAGCAGGATACAAATTGCTTGGACATATTTCAAATCCCCACACCTCGTGTGATCAGGAGCTTGAGACTAAACGCGGCATATGCGACGGACTGGATGTTCTTGAATACCACATATCAGGATTTCTGCTCTCGTCCCGCAGCGTTCGACCCAAATATCTCAACTCCAATGGGAGTGACCTTCACGCCGGAACTACCATTTCCAAACACGTTACAACCGTCCGGGCCTGAACCCAAAGATGAACTATATAAGTATCACAATGGCGGTAATGAAACTGTACAAGAGCGCAATGATGAAGCCGGCTTTTGGATGGATAATAATTGTGCTACTACCGAACTGCAAACACCTCTTGTTTTAACCTATAATCCATCACCGCTTGGGCTGGGCAGCAACGAAATGTTCCTCCTCGACTACTTCACTAACGGGCTCATCCCACGATGTACTACTTGGCCCGCAGAGAACCCATTCATCAGTGTGATCCTCCCTATTTGCTTGTCTGCTATAAATGAGCCGCTATTTTACAACATAATGGCAATATCATCCTACCAGCTGTACATGCTTAAAGACAGGCGTTTTGAAAGAGATATCTGGATTTACCGTGCCAAAGCGCTTCGCGGGTTTCAATATGAGATTGCACGCTTTCGAGATGACATTGAGTCATCCAAGGGGTGGGAACAAGTCATTGCCACCTTGATTATGCTCACCTTTTTCGATGTGCGTATCTGGTGCTCGGGCTAACCATATTGACTGTTTCTGACATCAATTTATGCGGTAGATATCACAAGATGCCTCACCGGCGTGGCTAATCCACCAGCGCTGCGCCCGAAATATACAGGCCCTCCTTCCTGTTACAAACAGTCTATCAATGACCCAAATGGACTTGTCTCGGTTCTTTCGCTACTATTTCGCCCAGCACGAAGCCTTTTCGAGGACAGCTTACGATATTCTTGATCCCCATGCGGCGTGTGTATCTTGGTTCTCACCTGGACTTGAGGTCGACATGACGGTTATCGATGCCCTGTTGGGATGCTCACCTGAGCTGATTTCCTTGATATTGGAGATATCAAACCTCGCCGCGCAAAGATTGGCAGTTGCAGGCGCAACCAAAGGCGTTCCCGACGGCATATCTTGGCGAGAGAGCGGTCAGGCTATTTGCGCTTGGCGCAACAATATCGAGAGACGTCTTTGCTTTCTGGAACAGGTCCTGCCATGCTCATCTTCTCTCTCTATAGACTGCGATCAGGATGGCCAAGGAGCCATTGAGGAGCTCGGCTATATTGCGGAGACGCGCCGGTTGTCAGCGCTGCTGTACATGTATTCAAGGCTCGACGGTATCCCCCCGGGGTTCTCACCCATCGATAAGTTGACTACACAAATACTAACTCTAATACCTAAAATATCCCTTCGTTCCCATGCCCTTCTATGGCCTCTCTTCGTTGTGGGCACCATGGGTATTGGAGTGGTCAACACGGAGTGCGGAGACGCACAGAGGATTTTTGTGTTGGAAAGACTGGTGAGCTTGCAGCAGACGCGGCAACTCAAGAATGTCAGGCGGGCAAGAGAGATTGTAGAGGCCGTTTGGAAGATGCGTGATATACAAGGTCCAGAATACATGGGCGGATGGTACGATATTGGGCGGGTAGAAAGTTACGGTGTGAGCTTATGTTGAAATTGTTGATGGAGTGCCACTGCAAGGTTTGGCACAGGCTTTTTTTACACAATAACAAACAAACAAAAGAGTATTTTCTATCCGCTAATTCTTTGCTAACTTCTGCTTGAAGGGTTTAAATGATTTTCAAGGCTATATCGTTCAATCACGTCTGGGAACATATTGCTAATATCCAATGAGTTCGATTATTTGCATGGCCTAGCTCCTTGGTTCTGTGAGTGCCGTAGTCTGGCTTCGACACTAGCTCTTCACAACACCACCGAATCCTGTACGATAATGGCCGAGAGTTTATAGTAAAGGCGCACGGATGTGAGAATTCTCCGTACAAACCGTGCAGACATCCCTGCTTATCTTAGATGCTATATTTGGCAGCCGTCCAAGTTCATTGGGGACCCCATCGGGACATGCCGTGACAGTGCCGAGATGAGAGGTCACAGTCGGCAGTGGTAACATTATTACCGAGAACGAACAATGTAAGCCTGGCCAGAAACCAGGTAGCTGAAATTAACTGAGTAACTAAAAGAGGAAGTTCGGTACTTTAAGAGTGATCTGACGCCCTCAATTAGATGGCGCTCTTGCCACTCACTGTAGCACTCCTGTAGGGTTTAGAATCCTACTCGCGCTATATGCCGGATCTTGGTGGATAACACTCATAGTGAAGAACGTAACAATGCAATGAATTGCGAAGAAGTTTCACGGTGAATGAAGAGGAGTTAAAATTGATAATTGATAATTGGTAATTTGATATTATGTATTTATGGCTAGTTGAGTCCATCATATCTTCGTATGAGGCTAATATTGAAATCCCGAGAAGAGAATGTCATGAACCATGCTCAAGGATTGCTTACTTCCATACACTAGTGATTCTCAGGAGTAGCTCCACTATAACCCCTATACTAGAAGTACATTTTGTACATTCAAGGCAGCCACGAGGTTATGGGTTCAACAAGGTGTGTTTTCTAAGCTAACGGGGATGATGTAGATGACTCCGACGGCATGGTGTAAGAGCAGGAGGCGGCTTGAGGCCCTGCGACTACGAAGGGGACCACGGCAGTGCTTACAATCATATTGGAACCCACATATCCGTGGGCTGCCTCCCTCCGTTGTATCCTCTCTTTTAAGAGTTTGAACGCATATTCTTGCCTCGTCTTGGCCAGCATCAAGACAACTGTTGAGCTCACCCGCCGCGGGCTCTTGACATCAACCTCGAGGGAGACATGGATAATTATAGTTTGTCGCTACCTTTACCTGGAATTACTTCAGTTTAGGCCTGGTGCCTGAAAAGTCGCTAGGGTCATGGATTCAACTGATAAGCCCGTGGGTTCCGGTAGATTATATTAGTCTCCATAGAGCCAGGGACGCACGTTTCGCAAATTAACTGGGGGTTAGGCATTCCCGATCCCAGTTCTGGGGAGCAGGATATATATATCGCTAAACTGTCCTACTTGGAGGTGAACATTTCTATCATCGAGTCTTTTTTCCTTCGAGTCTTCCCCACTAGCCATCATACCATCCAAAATGCATTTCATCAAGGCCGCCATCTCCCTCTTTACTCTCGCCGGCTTCGCCATGGCCCAGCATGACCAGTCTGGTCTCGAAGCTCGTGAGGCCTACCAACAGTATCTCGCAGAGCGCAATGAGTACGAGTACCACATGGAGCGGGACCTTGCCACTCGTGTTAGTCAGCCTTCTGATCCCTTGCCCTACCAATTCTATCCTCCGTGCTAATAGAGTATTCGCTCCAGGGCCCTAGATATCAATGTATATTTTCTCCCATTCATGACGGATATCAATGCGCTCTCTATGGTGTTACCCCTTTGTGTCCTTGCTCGAGTAGCAAGAGGGGCCAGAAATGCAGTTGTCCTGGAAAAAAATAGGGGGAGATGCAAGGCACCCTTAGATACTTGCAGGGACTTTTATAGCTAATAATAGGCTACAATGATAAAAAGGAGTCAAGTACGGCTATAGCTACCCAAGATTCAAACCAGATACAGGACTTCAGTATATCTGTTGACCTGAATCTATCATACTTCTTCCTGCCCCACGCGGTCCAATGTCTAGTGTGTGTACCTGAAGTCCTCCTGCTTCTTGTCAGACAAATCCTGGTAAACTTCCACAAGAGCATCCATATTCTCTTTTTCGACTTGATGGGCCTTGCCGTACTTCTTGTCCTTGCGATGATTTTCAAGCCTGGCAACTATGAAGTAGAGACCCATCAGCAGAATCGCCGTGCAGTAGCAAGACAGCATCGCAATGGTTCCACCAGTGTATGTAGGAGCCTGCGCCTCACGGAAGGTCTGAGGCCCAATCAGGTTACCGGCTCCATATCCCAAAAGAAGAATACCATACGTGACCACCTTCTTCGTGCTGCCCGCGGTGTTGGCCTGTGGTAGCGAGATGGCCGTAACATATGGTGCTGGATGTTGTTAGCAGTGATACGAAGGGTTTTTTTCTATGGATGCTCCTACCCCAGTAGCAGTACATTAAGTACAAACCAAACATCTGGCCCCCAGTCGACGACCTTGGGAGGGCATACACCAGAGCGGTACCGAGTAGAGGGACGAGAGTAGCGAGCATGACGACGAAGGTGCGACGACCTTGCCATTTTGCAGCCAAGTAAGAGGCCAAGAAGCCCGAAGCAGAGGAGATGACACCATTTGGCATGGACAAGAGAGCTGACGTCTGAGCATCAAACCCGAGATTGTTAATGATGAGTGCACCAAAAGTTATGAGACCCCCGTTTGGGACGTTCACGGCGATATTGAAGAAGAACATGATCCAGATCTTGACATCGAGAACAGCCTCCCAAGCCTGGTCCCACTTCCACTCGCTGCTGTCGATGCCGGTTCGGTTCTCCGCCAGGCGCTGGACCGCGTGCCATCTCTCTTCGACTGTGAGGAAGTGAGCGTTGATGGGTGAGTCCGGCAGGTAGAAGATCATGAAGATCGAGTAGAGAACATTCATACTGCCCGTGAGAAGGTAGAGATACTGCCAGCGGGCGAGAGGGGCGTCAGCTGGAATCTTGCCAATTACCCACGACAGGAAGCCATTCACGACAGAGCTAAATACAGTCATGATGACTGGGTACATGTCAGAAACCATCGTTTTCAATTCTGAATGATGAAAGAGAATCAATAGGGACTCACTGCCATTACGAATGGGCTGCTCTGACTTCTTCCAAAATACTGAGATGAGAAGTGTGGCACCAGGGCTTATAATGGCTTCAAAAACGCCCATAAGAAAGCGTAAGACCATGAGACCGGCCCAGTTGTGGCAAGCGGCGATGCATAAGGTCATCAGAGACCAACACATAGAGCATGCACTGAGATACTTCCCGGCTGGGAGTCGATGGATAAGGTAAGTCGAGGGCCAGATACCAACAAGCATCTTGAAAATATTAGATGGTTTTCATAGGACGGGCCAAATGTAGAACCTACACCAAGGGAGAGGATGCTCCCAAGCCAGCTGTAGTCCTGGCCGTGGAGGTTGTTGTCTTCTTTGAAGCCGTACAGAGCCCCAGTTGCAAGTTGAACCTTGTCAACAGCGGCGAAAAGTCCCATGAACAGCAACTAAGGAAAGCCTAGGTTAGCAATCCGCTTTCTTTAATGAACTTAGATGATTTGTACCAAAGGAATCATCCATCGGTCAATCTTGCGGACGATGGCTTTTTCCTGCTCTGGCGTCATGGGAGGGAATGGCCCGACAGACGCAAGGAACTTTGCTGCCTGGTCCGCTTCCTTGGACTGGGCTTGCTTGATGTTGTCATCACCACGTGCGACTTGGTTGCTTGTCACAGGGTGGATGGCGTCCTCGCCAGCCACAGGCATTTTCTTCTCCTCGGCCGAAGACATTGGGCAACGATGAGTTGGATTTCAAGATATTGGCAATAAGGCGACAGAGAAAAGGTGACATTCTTTGGGGGGCTGTTGTCTTGGGAAATCTGAAAAAATAGGGAGAAATGTCCAGCCTTTTGTAGACGGCCTATCTCTCTCGGTGTTGAATGTTCATGGCCCCGGGATCTAGGAGCTGTGTTATCAGTTCTTCCCTGCAGAAGTTGGAAATCCATGCTATCGGGTTGGCCCAAGATCCTGGGGAAGTGACATGACACGACAGTGGCACCCCGGCTGGACTCTGATATTGATTCGGGCGGGGCTGAGGCAGGTCGACGCGAGCAGCCCACATTCCCCTCGTTATCAGCCCCATGCCAAGCCCACTCTTTACGGAAGCTCGGGGTCATGACTCGGTCATGGTTTGACTGCCCACCCTCCCTCATCGCGTCGACCTGATCTTTTTCGAGAGGCGTCGTTTAGTGTTATCGAGAAGCGGGCCTTGGGGTTCACTGCTCGCATAACATCACTCCCTTTCTCAGCATCTATCGTCATACTTCGTTTCATGAAAGCGACCTCGGCCAAGAAGCCATGTTTTCGGAGCTGATCATGTCTTGAATTTCATTTATAAATACATCGCCGACGTCCTAGATTAGCGAGGGATGGTCAACAAGTAATTATTCTCGTTTCAACATCTTGCCAACCATGAGTTCAAATTCAACTCTCACTCCTAAAGGCATTAGGTTTGCCATAGGTGAAGTCCCTTGCAGCATATCATTGACTCCAAGTTCCAATGCTGATGTGTACTAGATCGGGGTGGCACTTTTACCGACGTGTGGGCGGCGGTTGAAGGCCAGCCTGACATAGTCCTTAAGCTTCTATCTGTCGATCCTGAGAACTACGCAGATGCACCCTCAGAAGGTCAGAAATCCTGTTCATTGCAAATGAGATTAGTCTGACCGTGAATGAAGGAATCCGACGAGTGCTGGAGCAAGTGACCGGAACCACGATCCCTCGATCCTCACGACTGCCAAAAGGGCACATCGAATCCATCCGGATGGGCACTACTGTTGCCACAAATGGTATCGATCTCACAATGCTCATGCATCAATAAATGTTAACTGACTAAACTCTTGTAGCTCTCCTCGAGCGGAAGGGAACTAGGCACGCTCTCGTCGTCACCCAGGGTTTCCGTGACCTTCTCGACATTGGCCACCAGTCCCGCCCAAAGTTATTCGCTCTCGATCATAGAAAGCCAGACACACTATATGAGGAGGTTGTTGAAATTTCCGAGAGAATCACGGTTGAAGATTTTGAGGACCGACCCGAGGAGCTCGTCCTGCCCACCAAAGGTATCCCTGGGACGTTGGTGGAGGGCTCAACGGGAGACATCTTGCGCATCATCAAGCCTCTCGACGTCGCGGAGGTAAAAACAAAGCTGCTTGCTATTCGAGAGAAAGGGATCGACGCCCTTGCCATTTGCTTCGCCCACTCCTATCTCTACCCCCAGCACGAAGAGGCCGTGGCCAAGATTGCCATGGAGCTCGGCTTCACTCATATTTCTGCCTCCTCGAGCGTGGGCGCGAAGATGATTAAGATGATCTCGCGAGGTAGCTCCGCTTCGGCGGACGCATATCTCACCCCGGAGATCCAACGCTATGTTCAGACCTTTGCCAAGGGCTTTGAGTGCGGCAACTTGGATGGTGTGAGGTGTGAATTCATGCAGAGTGACGGCGGCCTGGTCAACTATAAGTATTTCAGCGGTCTCAAGGCCATTTTGAGTGGACCTGCAGGTAAGATGACCAACTGGTCCCAGTGAACTATCATGTGACTGACTGTTAACCATTATCAGGCGGTGTTGTGGGTTACGCTCGTACCTCATACGACGGAAAGACGCCGGTTGTCGGATTCGACATGGGTGGAACTTCAACTGACGTGTCTCGATACGGCGGGTCATTTAAGCATGTTTTTGAAACAACCACGGCTGGCGTCGCGATCCAAAGCCCCCAGTTGGACATCAATACTGTGGCAGCCGGGGGTGGGAGCATCTTGTATTGGGAGAATGGCCTCTTCAGAGTTGGACCCGAGGTAAGAAACTTGATGGCTTGATCTTGAATTTGATGACAGACTAACTATATAACAGAGCGCTGGGGCACATCCAGGCCCAGCTTCCTATCGTAAGGGTGGTCCTCTGACGGTGACGGATGCCAATCTTATGCTTGGCCGATTACTTCCCCAGTACTTCCCCTCCATCTTTGGTCCGAACGAGGATCAGCCTTTGGACGATGAAATTGTTCGCCAAAAGTTCTCTGAACTGGCGGACACAATAAACCGAGAGACTGGCCGTTCCATGACCCCTATGGAAGTAGCAAATGGCTTCATAGACGTGGCCAATGAAGCGATGGGGCGACCTATCCGTGCAATCACAGAAGCAAGAGGGCACGACACCTCAGCTCACAACTTGGGTGTCTTCGGAGGAGCTGGTGGACAGCATGCCTGCGATCTAGCCAAGAAGTTAGACATTAAGCGGGTCATTATTCACAAGTTCTCGAGCATCCTCTCAGCATACGGTATGGCTCTTGCTGAAGTTTCGCAAGAGTTACAAGAGCCAAGCAGCGAGACCCTTTCCGCCGAATCTATGCCAAAGATCCAACAGAGAATCCAATGTCTCAAGAGCGAGGCAAAGGCCAAACTCCTTGCCCAGGGAATCGACGAGGAAGCCATTCGATACGATGTGTATCTGCATCTGAGATATGAGGGGACAGAGACTCAACTCATGATCCATGAGCCGGAGGATGGCCATTTTAGGTCCGCCTTCGAAAAAGAACATTTAAGGGAGCTGGCGTTTTTGTTTCCAGACTCTAAGAAAGTTCTTGTCGATGACATCAGGGTCTGCGGCGTTGGAGCAAGCGAACACGTCAGTCAAGACAATGATCGCCTTCGTAAGGAGCTGGAAGAGACTTCATTTGTTCCCATCGAAGCACAAAATGCGGCTCACAAGGTTTGTTTAACAACTTTCAACGTGTTATCATCCCCCATTCTAACTTCCATATAGGCCAAAGTGTACTTTAGCCCGGTTGGATACCAGATGGCACCGGTGTTCCTACTGGAGCAACTGAAGAGAGGAGACGTAGTCGATGGACCAGCCCTGATTATCGACAAGACTCAAACGATTGTTGTCGCCCCTAGTTCGAAAGCCTTTATCCTGACTTCTCATGTAATCATTGATCGATCAGACGAAAGTACGGTTCCTGTCGTGGACGCGACGGAAGATGTGGCCGACCCCATTCAGTTGTCCGTCTACAGCCACCGTTTCATGGGTATCGCGGAACAAATGGGGAGGACACTCCAACGGACCAGTCTGTCCCTCAACATAAAAGAGAGGCTAGATTTCTCCTGCGCAATATTCGGGCCAGATGCCGAACTTGTCGCCAACGTACCGCATGTCCCGGTGCACCTGGGCAGCATGAGTTACGCCGTGAAATACCAGTCGGAGTTTCATAAGGGTGATCTGAAGCCTGGAGATGTCCTCGTTTCGAACCACCCGGAGGCTGGTGGCACGCATTTGCCAGATATTACCGTCATTACTCCAGTGTTTGAACCAGATGGAAAGACGATCTGCTTCTATACCGCTTCTAGAGGTCACCATATGGATATTGGTGGACTGAAAGGAACCTCGATGCCGCCGGACTCGACTTCATTATACCACGAGGGTGCATCTATCAAGTCTTTCTTCTTAGTGAGAGATGGGAAGTTCGACGAGAAGGGTATTTGCGATATCCTACTCGAGCCTGGTACCCATGAGGGCTGCACCGGCTCCCGAAGACTAGGAGATAACATCTCGGACTTGAAAGCGCAGATTGCTGCAAACAACAAGGGTGCGGCATTGATACAAGCACTGATAGCTGAGAATGGGAAAAACAAGGTTCATTTCTACATGAAAAAGATCCAGGAGAATGCCGAAATCGCGGTCAGAAACTATCTCAAGGGAGTAAGACAAAAGAACGGAGTTGCTCCTCTGACTGCTGAAGACTCGATGGACAACGGATCGACCATGAAGGTTTCGATCACAATTGATGAGGAAGGAACTGGAATCTTTGACTTTGAAGGCACATCTTCCGAAATGCTCTCGAATATGAATGCCCCTCCGGCCATCACTTACTCGGCGCTCATCTACACCATGCGGGTTCTGATCAATAGCGATGTTCCACTTAACCAAGGATGTCTTACACCAACAAAGGTTCTTATCCCAAAGAATACCTTCTTGAATCCCTCTGCTGGCCGAGCTGTCTGCTGTGGCAATACACTCACCTCCCAACGGGTCACTGACCTCCTGCTGAAGGCTTTCCGCGCGGCTGCCGCCTCACAAGGATGTATGAATTGCATGGGCTTCTTCGGCCGCGGCGGGCTTGGTTCAGACGGGAAACCACTGCCGGGATTTGCATACAACTATGGAGAGACGATTGCTGGGGGCGCTGGGGCTGGGCCGACATGGCACGGCGCAAGTGGCTTGCACACGCACATGACCAACACGAGGACCACGGATGCTGAAGTATTGGAGAGGCGGTACCCTATCCTGGTGCGTGAGTTCTCGATCCGCAAAGGAAGTGGCGGAAAGGGCAAGCTTAATGGTGGTTGTGGCGTGGTGAGAGACTTTGAGTGCCGTGCTCCTCTAACCTTCAGCATGATCTCGGAGCGCCGCGTGAATCAGCCCTACGGGATGGAGGGTGGTGAACCTGGTCAACGCGGGACAAACTACTGGGCTCAGTGGAATGAAGATGGGTCGTATACATGGCTCAACATAGGGCCGAGGGGTCAAATTGACATGGACCTGGGTGATCGATTCGTGGTTCACACTCCAGGGGGTGGTGCTTGGGGCAAGGCAGGGGATGGCGATTCGATCACCACTGAGCAAAAGAGTGTCGATTTCCAGCCACGGGCTAATGGAAGCCTGAATGCTTTCCTTGCGGCTCAGTTAGAAGCCTAGGTTATTTCAGCACTGCAGATAAGAGCCTCAGGGTGCACGCGGGTAACAGGAGAAATAAGACACGTAATAGAAGAGTTGGTTATAAAGAGACTACTTTCTACAATAAATAAAAGGCATGGTATTATTGTCTATACTCTGTCATTGAATAAAAACCGACAAAAGAATCCTTCATTCCTACATAGTTAAGATGATACAACCCAACTGATTATCTCATTATACATATTATTCGTAGCCTACAGGATGAACCTCAGACCTCCCATTAAATCACAACCAAGACTTATCCAACATAGGGAGACTACCAACGAGGATCGTTGTTAACTCCGGTGCCGTATATTCTAGGCTCATTGGTGGCCTCTATCCTCGTTGTGCGAATAATGCCTTCCTCTGGATCCACCTTGTCATGGTGGTTGGACCTTGACGCGGGCATTGCTTGCAACTGCACAGTGTCGTCGACTTGATAGTACCCATTCATGGACGAATTGGGATTCTTGCTTGGCCAGTGGGACGATTGAGACAAGCCTTGAGATGAAGAACCGCCCGACGTCATGAGCCCAGCCCTGACAACGAATTTGCCAATCCAGCCTTTTGGTCCGTACACCTTGGGCGCGCAGGGAAGACTGAAAATCAGGTAACCACACGTCATCTCGGCCATGCACATCAGAGCAATGGGTGAGATGGAATAGGTACGGTCCTCCGAGTGGTAGAGATGGTAGCCGGCTTGGAGTCGAACAGCAGCGCAGGCACATGCCCTACAGAACGAGTTTGGTCGTTAGTAAATTGACGACTTTAACTCGGCGACTGGATTAAAGATGACTCATAGAACGTGAGATTACTTACACGAGACCAATAGAAAATGCCAAAGAGATGTGAAACTTCCTCTTTGACGTCATCTTCAAGCCCCAGATCTTCTTCTGGGGGAGAATCAGCATAACGACGTCGGACACCAGATTAATCGAGGCGCTCGTGATGAAGATCACTGAAGTATCCGAGCAACGCCCGGGCATGGTGGTATTCCATATCTTCTCATGCGGAATACACGAGAAGACGAGCGTCAAGATGGCTCCAACGTAGTACATGGAGATCAAGATCAGCAATGACCAGGAAATTCTCCAGAACCAGCCGCGGGTTCCGGTCGGTACGAAAATCCGAAGCCATTCTAGAAGGATTGCGGTCTTTATGCTGGCCATTGTTGCTTCGTAGATGACGCTGTCATTGTGGACGATCTGCTCGCGCGTGATCAGTATCTGTTTCGATTCGCATCGCATCAGCTGGGGGAAAACTTACATAAAGCACAAGCGGCAAGTCCTCGAGATGTTTGTCCCATTGGTGAACATAGAATCCGCACGCTTCCCTGAACCAAAATAACAGACCGATATATGCGAAGAAAAGAGTCTGGTGGTAGAATGGACGTTAGCCGACGACTGGCTTCCCCTCGGACTAGGTATCGTTCGCGCGACGTTGGGCAGGAGGCCTTACTACTGATGCGAAGGAGAGGACTGCATATTGGCATTAGTACACAATGTTTGCGGGTGAGGGGGAAATGTAGCAGCAGATCGAACACTCACTGTCTCCTATATTCAACCTCTGTCGCGTCGAAACGAGATATGTCCCGCGGGTGATGACACAAAACGACGTGAGGAGGATGCAGATGACGATGCCAACCAAGGCCTCGGTATCGCGATTCGGAGGGTTGTCGAACTGCGGAACTTGCCCGTCGGGGGGTGCCAACCCAGGCTTGCCAGAGTAGTGGGTGACGGGCTTGGGCGCTGACATGGTCGGTTACAACAGCTGCAAGTCACGACGGCCGCGGCGACGAGAACGAAGAGGACGAGGACGAGGACGACTTGAGGACGATGTTGAAGGGTTTTCGGGTTCAAGCAACCAGCCACCTGGATGTGGCACACTGGAAAGACATACTCGGCCCAATCGAAGGACCTGCCTATGACCTGCCGATGACAGACAGACGCAGAGAGTCGTCATGCATGAACCGAAGGACTTCGGTGTGGCACTGCACGCGCTGCCGGGTTAGTGATCCTTTCACGGATCGGCCATGATATATCGAACAAGTTCTAAATATCGCAACCGCCGACGCTGCCCCTCCGAATGGATATCCGGCTTATCAACAACGTGACAGTCGGAAGGATTCCAGGTTACATCGGGCTTTGGGTCGCACAAGTGCTGCTCCGCCGCCGATAATCTGTAGTAAGTGCCGAGGTATGGTATAATAAGTCTAACGGAATCCTGGAGCAAAAGGCAAACCAATCAAAAGACCTAAGAGCCCGAGATGTATGTAGATCTGCAAGTGGGAAAACCTACGAATTCAAATCCATTGGCACAGACATTCTTGTGGGAACGGCACATGCACACAGGTGACAGACAGATTCGATACTGGTTCACTCATCTTGGAAAGACTTGGGCCGATCTTCCGGGACCAGCAGGGGGGCCCTGGTTATGACTTCAGACCCGCCTTGGTACTTCTCGTAATACTGTGGATATGTTAGAAGTCTGTTTCTGTTCACATTCGCGCCGGAAGACGTGATGAAACAGTCAGCCCATCCGGAGGATACTGCCAGAGTTGGTTGTGGTTGTGCCGATTGCCCGTGCATATCGGAGGCCACCGATCTCGACTAGAAGCGGCAATAACCTAACACATGAACCCTGTGCCCGCCTGCCTCTTCGGTAAGCTGCGAGATGGGCGGCACCTAAAATGGCCACAGCCTCAAATCGCTCAGCTGAACGTCTTCTGCTATCATGTGGTTGGTTCTAATTTAAGAATAAGGCTAAACAGCGAAATCAAAATAAAATCACTAGTATAATAATAACAAGTAGGACCGAGCAATACTTTATTTAAAATTTTCTATATTAATTCAACTTTTATCTCTATCTTTAATCTATATAATAAAGCAAAATAGCTTTAAAATTTAAGCTTTATTATAAAATAAATTATTATTAAGTTTTCTTTAGAAAGAAGTAGTATATAATATTATTTCTTCTTAATAATTAAAATTAAAATCTTTAAGAACTAATAATATAATATAATAAAAATATATAAAATTAAATAATTTTAGTAAAGAAATTATTTTTAATTATTAATAATATAAATATAAAGTAAATATAAAATATCTGATTTAGATATAGGATTTATATATAAAATTACTATTAAGTGAGTGTGGGTCAATATAGCTAAGGTATTCTAATATTGGTCTATGCAGATAATAAATTGGGTCATGGAGGTCATCGAGGCTTGTTCTTCCGACACTCTCTCACATCGACCCATTTCATGCTCACTCCAAGGCGGCCATTACTATTTCAGGCATGTGTATAGCAAAGGCAGGTCATTATTTAGCTCGGTATCGGTTTTAAGAAAGTACCAGGGACTCATCGTAAGGCATGTCTAATCCTCTCACGAACAACATGATAGCTTCATGAGGTGCTTCATGGTACTGAGCTCCCTCTGGCCACGGATGCAAAAGTGCCTTTCTCCACAAAGAATCCTTATTCCAAATATCAACATATTTATCGATTACGCATCCAGCCTTTCCCATTTCTACCTAAGGCTCATAGAGCGGTGAGGGACTAAAAATGAGGGGCATTCTCTACGAGCAGGCTTATGTGCACAAGCTTTCCTAAATGCAGATGCGTGTCATTGTACTATCAACAAAGTGCCAAAGAGGATGGCATTATATCGCATGTGGCGTGATACGTAGTACGGTCATAATCCGCATATTGGGATCTCCAAAAAGGGGCCCAGGGGCAAATCTTACAGTCCCCATGCTTCCACCCACGATGCCATGTCCCCCTGCTGAATGGCCTGTAGATCTCTTGCCACTTCGCTCGCCGCCAAGAGGTTTTTAATATCGACGTCGATGCTGTCAACTGCGTCTCCACCGTCACCACCCAGTAGAGACTCCTTGTAGAAATCCACCAGCTTCAGGGCCGGGTTCTGATGAATCAGATGAGTGCCAGCGCCACTGCCCTCGTCAGCATCCCCACTGTCCTTGCCGCTTCCCTCGACCTTTGCGATCCATTCAGCTGGGGCTAGACGCGCCAAATTCGAAGGTGACACCTCGTCTAGCGCGGGCAGCAAGTCTGACCACTCACTGGTCTGGGGGTTCACCACGTTGTACAGCACGAACCCGTTGGCAGACTTGGTTACGGTGCTGAGCTCGCTGACAATCTCGGCCAACTTGTCTACAGGCACCCAGTTGATGTCCATTCTGCCCAAGGTGTCCGGCACGGCGCCGAGAAACTTTGAACTTATGGCCAGAGAGGGGAACCATTCAGCTGGATTCCAACCTCTCCGCTTTCCAGAGATGGGCCCGCAGATCTGGCCTACGCGAAGAACTGACACCGGCGACAGGGAGCGCGTCGCGTGGGTCTGCAAAAGGCTCTCGCAGATGTATTTCGCACGGGCGTAGCCCATGGGTATGAGATCCCGGGCTTGCTCTGGGGTAATGACAGCTTCAGGGATCGTGCTGCCAGCCTTGGAGGACAGGCTAGCTGCTGAAATACTAGAAATAAATAGGACTGCGGGCCCTTTTTCTCCTCGTGATGCCAGCTCGAGCAGGTTCACCAGGGATTGGATGGCGGGTTCGAAGGACGCCACGCTCAGGAGGAAGTTGACAGGGAACGCGTTGTGAATAATTGAGGTTGTCTCGCTCGAAAGCTTGACGTACTCTTCGCCCGACAGGCCAAGTTGGGGCTCTTGGAGCTTGGCCTGGAGAAACGTAAGGCGACCTTGTTTCTCGTTGCTAGTGAGGAAGCTAGCAGCTGCATCAGGTGCAAGTCCATTGACTTGTTGAAGAAATGCCAAGAATTTGGAGCGCGCTGCGGCTACAGGGCTGCGGTTGAGGCAGATGACCTTGACGGAAGGATTGCGTAGTAGAGTAGATAGGATGTATGACCCGAGAGAGCCCGTGGATCCTGTCAGAAGGATGGTCTGTGAGCCGCCATCTCGTTGCTTGCTGCTGGGCGTTTTGGTGAATCCCTTCACCGACTCGGTGTACTTGGCGAGCAGCTTCTCCACATCTTCCTTTTCGATGTCTTTAGGCGCCGTCTTGGCGTCACCGTTTGTGGTCGAAATAATAGTGGACAGGCTGCTTGCCATCTGCCGGATGGTGGGCTGCGTGTACCAAAGCTTGGGAGTAATTTTCTCTATTTGGTCATCTGCCACGCCATGTTTCCTCAACGATGCCTTCAAGCGGGCTAGTAAGATAAGAGTGACGAGGGAATTAATACCGAGACTGAGGAGATCGTCGTCAGCGCTTAAGGTGTGGCCCTTGGGAAGGTCCAGGGTTTGAATGTGTAGATCAGTCAAAAAGGGGACCAGATCATCGGCCTGGGTCGACTTGATGGGCACGAGTCCACTGACAAGGAGACCCTTCTCCACATTATTATAGAGCTCATCAATCTCAGGCTCGTACTCGGTGATGGTGAGCCGCCTCTGTATGGTCCCTTTAGGAGACCGTAGAAAAGGCTTGTCGGGCTTAGCGATCAATAGCAGTTCTCGAGGGACCCTGCCGAACTTGGGGGCATCCTTGTTAGCCTCTTTGACCAGCTGCCAGATCTCCTCGTAGGCCGCAGCCTCGTCTGCAGGGGTCTCAGTCAGCTCGACGAGCATGCACAGACTGAAATGATGGGAACCAGCCACCAGCACGCCTTTGACGTTGGGAGCATGGGACACTTGATTCTCCATATCAGTGGGGTCGAATTTAAGGCCATTGGACATGACAACCCAGTTGTCTACTCGTCCACGGTATACCCAATAACCGTCTTCGCCTGCTGGTGCGTACAGGTCTGAAGTTCGAAATTCGTTCTCGAGGTGAGGGAACACGTGAAAGAAGCCGGACGAGTCTTCAATCTGTTTGGTTCTTGGGAAGACGAGTTCGTACAGCCCAGGGACCATCTCTTCCATACGCTGTCCGAGGTCCACAAACTTGAAGGTGTTGAAGTGCGAGCTGTCTTTGGAAGACTCGAGATGGCACGCAACTCCTTCAGTGCTAGCCATGAGCGGATACAAGTGCTTGCAATGCTTGGCCAGCTCAGCACCACGTGCCGGGGTGATGGGACCGCCATAGTAGGCCACATGGTCCAGCTTGGGGATGACTTCAAGCGCTGGTGGGTGGGTAAGGAGAGACTCAAGTACCGAGGGGGGCAACACCGTGGAATTACACTTGGCAATCTCTATAATCGCCGTGACATTGGCTGGGGATAGTGGCGTGCCAGGGAACGGAACCACGAGCGTGTTCTTACAGAAGACGGACGCCAACGCGGGTCCCATACCACCCATGTGGAACAAAGGGAAGGGACAGAACACCTGTGTGGCCTTCAGAAGATCGCGCATCAGATTAGTGCCGTTGGGCGCTGAGAACTCATCTTGCAGAAAGGAGGGGATGATGCTTGCGCCTGCATGGGTATAGTAGATAGGCTTTGGGTGGCCCGATGTTCCCGATGTGTGAAGGGCCATGAAGCGCACGTCCTTCACCTCATCCCACGTTTTATCAAATGGGTAAGGGTCGACGGGGTCTTTGCTGTGCAGTTCCGAATAGCTTAATGCAACTTGAGCATCGGTAATGTCTTCGGTAGCCTTTCTGAGTGGCAGTAACATGTCGGCCACTTCGGGCGCGTACAGAAACTTCTTCACTCCGACCGTCATGAAGAGTCTACGATTGGCTGGCACTTGATTTGCTAAGGATGGGTAGAGAGCCTGTGTACATATAAGTTAGGCTTGCTGGATGCGTAAGAAGGCAAGATGTGCGACCGAGGGTCGGGTGAGGGGCATATTTACACATTTGCCGGTCTTCATAGCTCCAACTGCCCAGATCACATATCGTATGTCGCTTGGTCCCATATAGACGAAGATGTCTTCGGGGCAGTTCTGCTCTAAGAACCTGGCAGCTCGATTGGAAGCATTCTCTAAATCGGCGAAAGTGACATCCTGGACTTTGCCGTCCACAGAGACGACCTGGGCATAGGGTCGTGTCTCGGCAACCCGGCTTCGAATGGCATTTGGCCAGAGGTGCTCAGTTGATTGGAGTGCCATGTTGGTTCAAATGATCAAAGGGGGTAAGAAAATGAGTCGACAATGTGAATGTTGTGTGAGCAGCTAGGCAAACACACACAAGTTGAAGGGTTTACAATGGATTGAGAAAGTCAAGTGGGAGATAGGACACGTCTTTTGAAGACAGACTATTACTACATGTCATACAATGGTACTTATAGCCTAAACCAGTTGGTTGCAGTTGCTGCGTCACATTTTGCGGGAGAGCTATGGGCCCAGGAGCATTGAAGGTAGTATCTCGACCAACACCTTTTGTAACTACTAAGCGTAGCCAAAGATGGCTATTGCAGACATACGTACGGATTAAAGGAACAAAAGTTAAGGCGAATGTAATAGGCAGCTCTGCCATAAGTTCCCTTTTATTAGATCGTCTTTTATTAACTAGGGATTCGACTGCAGAGTTAACGAACTGAGTAATGGGAGCGTCCATTTCAATCGGCCCTACCTAAACCCTCCGATATGCCTCTGGCCATCTCTTAGGATTATGCTAAAGTACTCCCTCCGTAACTCCGTTGGTAGTACACAATGACATTGCGATGGAGCCTTTCTCGCCGATCAGTGTCACATCGGGCCATTAGCTTGAAGCCTCACAATACGGTCTAACAAGCCAATCAACCTGATGCACGTGGATCCTTCGCCGAGGTATCAAAGCACGGACACACACCTGGCCGGTCTATCCGGAGGACCAGCCTCTGAGGGGCAGAATCAGGCTGGCTGATTAGACCCGCAGGTAATATCTAACGTGTTTTGAGGCTTTAGCTGAGTGCCAGCTGCCATATTTCCGGCCCGTGCCGTGATAGCCGGACAAGACCACCGAGGCTTAACACGCGCCGGCTTGAAGTTAATCTGTATGATGGACCGAGGAGAAGGGGCCAGTCGAAAGGCTAAAACATCTGATGATGCATGATGGTGGCACTGAAGCCTGGCCGGGCCATCACCTCTCAATGCGGCAACTATGAACAGCATGGGGTTGTCCAGGGAGGCTGATGAAATGGATGGGCTGTTAGTGTCCCTGACATAACATCGCTCAATGCGACATAACATCGTTCAATGCCGTTCCCCAGCGAAATATGGATCCAACCAGGGAGAATGAAATGTCCATACTTGGCATCCCAGCACAATGGCTCCGCAGCGTAACCAACCTCATGGCCCACATTGAGGCCTCCCTGTCGATTACGAATGCCGTGAGAGGCCAATAAGCGACGTTGGTGGTCAAAGGATTCTGTGCAGGTCTCAAGGATCGCAAACGTTGGCGCGATCAATGCCAGTTGGCCCAGTTTTGCCATCAGACGGAGATGTCTCTTTCTTTGGGCTTGTGACACTTAGGACAGTACTAATAACTGATTAATGTGTGGAGTACTTAGATAAGAGTACTTAGTCCATCTGGTATTAATTTATATCTCGGTAATAATTGTGGGGAAGCTATCGGTTTTTATTTTCTTACCACATGGGGCTGGGATAAACCGCCCACGCAAGGGGCTTCAAAGACTTATATTAGATAAAATTATTTATATTATATAGATTTAAAATAATTTATATAGCTAGACTTTTTAAATTATAATATTTAATAATATTATAATATTATAATATTAAAAAATAAATAAACTATATTTAAATCTTTTTATTTAAATTATACTAGCTTTTATATATTATTTTTACTATAATTTATTAATTTATTATTTTAAAAATAAAAATTTAAAGACTAATAGTTTAAAGAAGATTATAAAAAGTATTTTAAATAATAAAAAATAATATTTTCTTTAACTTTTTTCTACTTTAAAAGCTTAAATAAATAGTTTTTTTTCTACTCCTAATTTAAAATTCAATATTACAGAATATAGCAAGATCAAATTCAGTTAGCTCATTAAAATACACATGCATATATCAGTTTCTGTTGTGTATTTTAGGTGTGGAGGGGTATTGGTGGAGCAATGAACGTTTACCAGGGAGACACGAACAGGTCAAGTTGATATGGAACTCGGCTTCTTACGACTGACAGATCGTAGGTCATGAGAAATGCCATAGGACCAGAATGTAGGAATGATCACGTCACATCGTGGTAGGAGGTGTCCACTATCTCTACAGGCCATGTGTCCATGAGGTGGGAAGTCCTGTGTAACGGCAGAGGGCTTTGATGTGACCATGTCCGCCTTATTCCTTGTATATCATCCACCTAATCTTTCCCATTAGGTGGCCGTCTGGCCGTCTCTGGGTGTTAGTAGTTCTTACTGACCTAAGCCATTTGGTCGCAACTTTTGTGGTAAGGCGCCATAGTGGCTATAGCTCTTGTCGAGATGTCTTCAAGTCTGGACACTACATCCAAGGATGCCTCTCCTCTCACATTCAAACCATTGGCCATATGTGGCATGTCAACACGCCTCCCTGGCGGAATCAGCTCTCCAGAAGATCTCTGGGAATTCTTGTTGAAAAAGGGAGATGCATGTGCCAGGATTCCCCCCTCACGATGGGCCACGCATGGGCCACAGGGAAACTCTCCGGGCCACGACGTAGAGAGTACCGACAGCCCGGACACGCCACACTGGAAAACCCACTCGTATATGTTGAACGATATCGACATTGGGGCCTTTGATGCTGGCCTCTTTTCCATGACACGAGCCGAGTTGGGCATGGTAGATCCTCAACAACGGCTTCTTCTAGAGATTACTCGGTAAATGCCCAATTCTATGGTGAGGGCGAATAAATCGCTGACGACTCGTCAAAGTGAATGTCTAGAGAGCGCTGGGGAGATGCAATGGAGGGGCAAAGACGTAGGGGTATACATCGGTACATTGGGTGAAGATTGGAACGACGTGCAATATCACGACCGACATGATTTGCACACATACAAGGTCACCGGGACAGGAGATTTTGTACTCTCCAATAGAATCTCCTACGAGTACGATCTCCGGGGGCCCAGGTAAATGAACACTCCTGTGAATGCGCATTACTTCTGGTAACTAATAGAACAACAATAGCTTGACAGTAAGGACAGCTTGCTCTTCATCTCTATACGGCCTGGATCTGGCCTGCCAGGCGATTCACTCAGGCCAGGCATCCAGCGCCCTAGTTGGTGGTGTAAATCTAATGACGAATCCTAATAGTAAGTCTGAACTGCTCGACTTGTGAGTCTGCCGATATGAGGCTGACGACTTTTCAAAACAATACAGAAACCGAGACGATGATGCACTTCGGAGTGCTTAGCAAAGGTGTCTCGTCCAAGTCATTTGATGCCGACGCTGACGGTTATGCCCGCGGGGAAGCCGTGTCCATGATCTATATCAAGAAGCTAGAGGATGCTATCCGCGATGGCAACCCGATCAGAGCTGTGATCCGGTCCGCGGTAAGTAATGCAGATGGAAAGACCTCGGGCCTAACGAAGCCCAGCGGCGCAGTTCATGAATCTCTCATACGCTCCGCATATCGTGCTGCCGGTCTTGAAAGAGAGATAGGACGTACAGGATTTTTCGAGTGCCACGCGACTGGCACCTCGAGTGGAGATCCCCAGGAAGCTGGCGCAGTGGGCAGAATCTTTAAAGCCCACGGGGGTATTTACATGGGATCTATAAAGGTACGTGGAGAGTGTAATGCCCCATCTCTCTAATTGCAGCATGAATGAGCTGACAGTCACCTTGTTAGCCTAACCTCGGCCATGCTGAAGGTGCTTCGGGACTTAGTTCGCTCATGAAGTGCGTTATGGCCTTGGAAAACAGGACGATACCACCTCAAATCAAGCTGAACAAACCGAACCCGAACAGTAAGTGGACCCTTGTCTCGTAGATTCACACTTCAGCATGATATCGAGCTGCTGACTGAACTTATCACTTCCTCTTAATAGTTCCGTTCAAGAGAGCTGGTCTCCGTGTTCCCCTGGACGCTGCACCGTGGCCAGAGGACCGATGTGAACGCGCGAGCATCAACTCATTTGGCGTTGGGGGAGCCAACTCTCATGTCATTCTCGAATCTGCCGCCTCGTTTGGGGTGCCACCAAGTGCTTCTGTTACCTCAAACGGGGTTCCTCCCACCACCAACGGCGCTCATCCTACCTCAAATGGGGTTCATCCTACCTCGAATGGGGTTACTCCTACCTCAAATGGAGTCCATCTCACCACAAACGGACATACTGTAACCAATGGAACACACGCTACTATTAATGGAGAAGATACTCTGGCTAACGGAGCTTTTGCTGTTACAAACGGGGCAACTGTTGAGAAGAACGTCCAAACCAAAGCTAATCGACTTGTACCGTTTACGGCAAATGACGCTGATTCAGCCCGTCAAGGCGCCGTGAAGCTCAGCAGCTTTCTTGCCAGCCACCCGGACCACTTAGATGATGCCGCCTACACGATCGGGATGCGGAGGCAGCACTTTCCGTATCGTTCTTTTGCTGTGATGAACAAGGAAGATGCCGCCAGCCAGGTGACATTTACAGCCCCTACACGAGCCTCCCCGATGCAACGCACAGTTGTATTTGTCTTCACCGGACAAGGGTCCCAGTGGCCCACGATGGGGTCCGCACTGCTCTCCGACTATCACGCGGCAATGGAGGATGTTCTGCGAATGGACAAGGCGCTGGCTTCACTAGGCCAAGATGTTGCCCCTGCGTGGAATCTAGCAGGTAAGGATTCTCTATTTGATGCAGTTCATTCGATTCTCTATTGCCACCGAATCTTCAACTTTACTGACTGGACTCAACCACCGTAACAGAGCAACTCAGGCTGCCCAAGGAAAGCAGTCAAGTATACAAGGCAGACTTCTCCCAGCCCTTGTGCACGGCTGTACAAATTATCATAGTCAATCTTCTGCGGAGCTGGGGCATCGAATGCGCCGCCGTCATCGGGCATTCGAGTGGAGAGATCGCGGCTGCCTACGCGGCTGGGGCTTTGAGCATGGAAGAAGCCATCATCTGTGCTTATCTACGCGGAAGGGCCACTGTCAAGTACCGGACCAAGATGCCACAGGGGGGAGGCGGCATGGCCGCTATTGGTCTTGGGTCGAAGCAGGTTCAAAAATACTTGACCGACGGGGTGGTGGTCGCTTGTGAAAACAGCCCATTGAGCACCACAATATCGGGAGATAATGACAAGTTGGTCGAGGTCCTTGATGCCATCAAAAAGGACCAACCTGAGGTGTTCGCTAGGCGCCTCGCCGTTGATATGGCCTACCACTCTCGTAAGATACTTGCTTCGTTTTCGTCTTGCTACCCACTTACCTATATTCATTGGGCACTGGCTAACGAAGACCATCTTGGGTGGTAATCTAGACCACATGAAGCTTATTGGCTCGGATTATGAGAAGGATCTAGCATCACACATACAGAGCAAATGGCCATTGGTTAAGTTCTTTTCTACAGTAACTAATGAGGTGATAGACGTGGACGGTGCGCTCGGTGCGGCATACTGGCGAGCTAATCTGGAGTCCCCTGTGCTCTTCAACACAGGACTAAAAACTCTTCTACAGCAGACAGGAGGCAATACTGTCTTAATCGAAATAGGACCACACTCTGCACTTTCAGGGCCCATTCGCCAGATTCTCAACGAGTCGTCCAATAAATCACCCCCTCTATACGTTCCCACTCTGATTCGCTCCGAGAACGAAAGCAAGGCACTGCTCACCACCGCCGGTCAACTCTTCTGTCAAGGTCAGAGGCTTCGATTTGATGCCATCAACCCCATCGGCCATGTTCTCCCTACACTACCAACCTACCCGTGGAATCACAGTACTAGTTACTGGTACGAGAGCCGCGTCTCCCGTGAGTATCGGGGCCGTGGTTTCGCCCATCACCCCATCATCGGTAGCCGAGTTGTCGAAGCCAGTTCTCTGGAGCCTCTTTGGCGCAACTGGCTCCGCATCGAGGACATCGAATGGTGTCAGGACCACAAGATTGGCAGTGATGTCGTGTTTCCTGGAACTGGCTATCTTGCGATGGCAGGTGAGGCCTTGCGACAACTCTGCCCAGAAGCTCAAGATATCTCCTTCCGGCAAGTGACCATCTTGTCGGCGCTGGTTCTGGGAGGAACCGAGGCCACGGAGACACTTCTGTCCATGCGTCGGCACAAGGTGACTAACCTCCTAGACTCGGCATGGTGGGAATTCAGCATCTCGTCCTACAACGAGACGTCACAGCTATGGAACAAGCACGCTTTTGGCCAGGTACGAGACGGAAGAAGCGAGAGCGACGACGGCCGTGGCCAGGAGATCGTCCACCTGCCACATGAAGTTGACTCGGGATATTGGTACAACACAATGCGAAGCGTAGGGCAAAATTACGGACCGCGATTTCAAAGGCTAGATCGCGTTTCAACTCATCTGCTTGAGAATGAGGCTGTGGCCGACCTGAAACCGGACGAGGCAGACCCCAACTACCTGTTCCTGCACCCGGCGACCTCGGATGCCTGTATGCAGCTCTTCTCAGCCGCCATGGCCCACGGCCAGGCCCGTTCGTTGCACGTCAAGGCGGTTCCCACCTACATTGGCGAGGCTTACTTCAAGAGGACAAGCGCTTACAAAGAGGGCAAGATAACCGTCGGAGCATCTATCGACAACCATATACCCGGATCGCCAATGGTTGGCACTTGTGTTGCAGTAGACGCGGCTAACGCGGTGGTGCTCCGCCTCAAGGATGTGAAGTTGACACCACTGGATGAGGGTGACAATGATGTCATAACTCAGCAACAACAGAAGCAACAAGTTCCCAATGCCAGCAAGGATCCTCATGCCGGTGCACGGCTACGGTGGCGGCCCGACTTCGACTTTCAGGATGCCAGTCAACTCATACGATCCCAATCCTCCTCAGACGGCATGGTTATACGAAAACAGGCTTATACCCTGCTCCAGAAACTTTTGCTCTTATGCTGCTTGACGGCTCAAGACGAATATGGGCAGATTCAACCCTCTAAGCCATACTTGGCTGAGTTCCAGAAGTGGATGACTCAACAGGCAACAAAAGTCAGGGATTCATGTGCCCAGGTCGGGGATGGAGACGATGATGTTGTCTATCCACTAGTGAATCGCCGTGAATCACAGGAATTTTTCGGCCTCAGCCAGGAACAGCGCGCTTCTCGCATTAAGGATTTGGTTAAAAATCTACGTGAGACGGAATACGGCCGTGTTGGTAAACTTATTCATCGGGTATACCTTGGCCTCGGAGACTTATTGAATGGTCGTCGCGACGGTCTCGAGATTCTACGCCAGGAAGAAAAAGAACAAAATGTTGACCGTGACGGGGGCGAGGAAGAGGAGGACCCGTTAACGAGCATCTACAACATTAGCAACCAAGGATGGAACTACGCTCCTTTCCTCGAGCTCCTGAGCCATCGCACCCCCCATCTCCGGATCCTGGAAATCGGTGCTGGGACAGGCGGCACTACAGATCTGATTCTCCGCCAGCTTGATAGAAGCGTGGGAGAAAACAGTATAAGCACAGCCTTCTACTCGTACACATATACCGATGTATCGGCTGGTTTCTTCCCCGCGGCGATGCGACGATTCCCTCATCATCGCTATCCCAACATACACTTCCAGACTCTAGATATTACCTCAGATCCTGAGACCCAAGGCTTCGCACCCGCGTCATTCGACCTCATCGTAGCAGCCAATGTCCTCCACGCCACGCCCGAGCTCGGCCGTACCCTAACCCACGTGCGGAAGCTTTTGCGTCCCGACGGCCGGCTTCTGCTACAGGAGATCAGCATGGAGGCCCGTTGGGTCAATTTGATCATGGGCGTTCTGCCTGGATGGTGGCTTGGTGGCGAGGATGGACGCAAGGAGGAGCCGTATGTTGCTCCAGCGCGATGGGCCGAAGAGTTACGCAAAGTCGGTTTCTCAAACCCTTCGATCGTGCTGGACGTCGACGAAGAGCCGTTCCAGGCCAACGCCACCATCATCGCAGCTCCTGCAGAGCCTGCTGCCCTGCATGCCAATGGCGACTTGACGTCCTCTGTCTCTCTGCTTTGCCGACAGCCAGACGGCGACCTGGCCAAGAGAGCATCCGACGCATTGCAGAAATTAGGGCTGCATAAGGTCGAGACCATTGGTCTTTCGGATACGCCACGAGGCACAACGGTGATATCCATCCTGGATATCGAAGAGGAGAAGAAGGCCTTCATCCGGGACGACACGCCCGCGGAAGAATACAGCCAAGTTCGAGACTTTATATCCACCAAAATCTCACCTCCAGAAGCCGGTGGCTGCTTGCTCTGGCTGACTCGGCCGAGCCAACTGCACTGCACTGACCCGCAGTACGCCGCCATCGTAGGCTTGCTACGCGTAGTTCGCAATGAAACGGGGCTCACGCTTTGTACACTGGAGATGGAGGAGGAAGAAGGTGATTCAGATGCATCCTGGAAGTCTGTCGTCGATGTGTATCAAAAGATCCTGCGCACTCGCAGCAGCACACAAGCCCAAGATGACATGGCGAGTCCAGACTGCGAGTTCGCCTACCGACAGGGCAGTATCTATCTTCCACGCTTCCACTGGGTTTCTGTGTCCGATGAGCTGGCCGCCGCCGATCTCCAGGCCCCCAACAAGCCTACCGACAAGGTAAATGGACATCTACTGGGACAAGAGCAACAACAGACATATAAACGCCTCGAAATCGGTAAACGCGGCTCGTTAGAATCCCTCCACTGGACAGAAAACCGCTTGACCCTGCCTTCCGAGCTGGCATCTGACGAAGTCATCATCTCCATCCGTGCCGTGGGCCTCAACTTCAAAGACAGCCTGACAGCCATGGGGTTGATCCCCAGCATCGCGAAAGCGGGAGACGGGTTCGGCGTAGAATGCTCCGGCGTGGTCCTCGCTGCCGGTTCTCTCGCATCCGAGACCTTCCAGGTCGGTGACCGCATCATGGCCGTCTCACGAAATGCATATGCCACTGCAACTGTTGTGCGGGCCACCAACTGCGTCCGGATCCCCGACGAACTAAGCTTCGAGGACGCAGCCACCATGCCCTGCGTTTATCCAACCGCCATCCACGCCATCATCAACCTAGCAAGGCTGGAAAAGGGCCAGACGGTACTGATTCACTCGGCCTGCGGCGCTGTGGGACTCGCAGCAATGTATATTTGCCTCAACGTCGTAGGAGTACCTATATCCGATATATACGCCACCGTCAGTAGCCCCGAGAAGACTGAGTTCCTGACGTCTACGTTCGGCTTGTCTCCGTCGCACATCTTCCACTCCCGCAGCGCCGCTTTCCTGCCGGGAGTTCTCCGCGCTACTGAGAACCGCGGCGTAGATCTTGTACTTAACTCCCTGTCTGGGCCTCTGCTTCACGCGAGTTGGTCATGCGTCGCAGAATTTGGAAGCATGGTGGAGCTAGGGAAACGAGATTTCCTAGACGGGGGAAAGTTGGAGATGGCGCCTTTTGAAGGGAATAGAACTTTCTACGGGCTGGAGCTGGTGCCAATCATTGAGCAGAGGACATCTCTGTTTCGGAAATTGCTAACTGATCAGATGATGGGGTGGCATAAGGAAGGGCTGCTGCCCCCTATCGGGCCAGTGACGAGGTTTGAGGCCGGTGAGGTGGTGAGTGCTATCAGGAAGATGCAGAGTGGCAACCATATCGGCAAGCTGGTTGTCCGGATGTCGGATGATGGAAGAGGGGATCATGGTGAGCTTGTTGTAAGTTCCGGGTCGAGGACGAGTACGACAGCAAGTGGAGAAGGAAAGCAGCTGTTCCGGGAAAATGCCTCTTATCTCCTCGTGGGAGGGCTTGGAGGGTTGGGACGGTCCATCGCTTTCTGGATGGCGCAGAACGGGGCACGCCACTTCGTGTTCCTATCCCGCAGTGGAGGAGCCAAGCTAAAGGTTACCGCGCTGGTACGTTCGCTTCAAGGGGCTGGCTGCACAGTCCAGGTTGTGGCCGGAAGCGTCACGAATCTAGGCGACGTCTCTCGCGCCTTGGGCCAGGCTCGTCTGCCTGTGGCCGGGGTTCTTCAGCTGTCCATGGTGTTGCGGGACGGACTCTTCGCCAATATGTCCCACGAAGACTGGGTAGCTGCCACGGCTCCCAAGATTAAGGGCACCTGGAACCTGTATCACGCTCTCTCAGCTTCTCAGCAGTCATTGGACTTCTTCGTGCTGTTCAGCTCCTTCGCTGGCGTCATTGGATCTCGGGGACAAGCTAATTACAGCGCAGCAAACGTGTTCTTGGACGCGTTTACGCAGTATGGTCGAAGCCAGGGCGTGCCGGTAGCGGTTCTCGATGTGGGTTCCGTCGCTGACGTTGGCTTTGTGGCAGAGCAGCCGGACTTGCTTGAGTTCTTCAAGACGACATCTCACCACATCCTGCGGGAGCAGCACGTGCTGGATGCTCTGGAACTGGCTGTTCGTCAACAGCAAGGCTTCCGGAAACCGCTGGCCAACGGAGTGGCAGCGCATGCGATCGAGGATGAGAGCTTCGTGTCTGATGCCCAGCTCGTCTTGGCTCTGCGATCCACCATCCCGTTGTCGATGCCAAATAACCGGAATGTCTGGACGCGCGATCCCCGCATGAGCCTGTATCGCAATCTCGAAGCTGCGGCTGCAGACCACGATGACAACGGTGCTAGCAACGACGAGAAGGAAGAGGGAGAGGACGCTGTTGTCCGGAAATTGCTCACCACCATTGAGACGAACCCGTCTGTTCTCACTGACGACGAGACTTTCATCGTGAGCTTGGCCCGCAGCATCACAATTGCGGTCTACAGCTTCATGATGAAGCCCTACATCGAGGACGAGGTGGACATGAAGGTGGAGCTCACTGCGCTTGGATTTGATTCTCTGGTGGCGATTGAGCTTCGCAATTGGCTCCGACAGCGTCTGAAGCTTGAAGTGACTGTCTTGGAGATTATGCGCAGTGGCAGCTTGATTGGTCTGGCGAGATTTGGAGCTCGCAAATGGTCGTCGGCAGTTTCTAAGTGAGAAGACGTCAATGATATTGATTTAGTTAGCCTAATACTATGGGCGCAGATGTGTGTTCCCTACAAACTCGGAGGAATCTGTTCGGAGGAACTTGGACCAGGTAATGCGAATGCGAGTTGAAGATGACGAAGGATTATGATTAGCGGGTTCAAGTTCGTGATGGACCGGATTTGGCGACTCTCAAATCCGCGGAATTGAAGCTCAGCTCGGCATTGGATCACAAACTCGCGGGATTCAGATTGTGTCATGATTCATCGCACCACGGGAGAGACGTTCATACAAACAGTATGACGCCCTCATTTATATAATTAATGTTCTCGTCCAAATACTGATTCTTTTACCTTAACATCATCAGCATAATCATCATCAGTACCTCAACAATTAGTACTTTGCCAGTTTTTAAGCACACCAACCACAATCTACTTCTCCAAGCCTCTGCTCAAAAGCTAAACCTAACAAAGCAATGTCTCTCGGCGGTCTCAAAAGTTTGGCTCTCCAGGCCTTTTCGCCAAAACCTACCATCACGGAGAGAAACATACCCGATTTAACAGGAAAGGCAGGTACCCTCTTATGTCCATTTCAGTCAACCTCCTAACCAATATGACAGGTCTGCCTTGTCACTGGTTCCAACACCGGTATTGGTAAAGAGATTGCACAGATTCTGTACGCAAACAATGCCAAAGTTTACCTCGCTGCACGGTCAGAGGAGAAGACACAGAAGGCTATGGAAAATATAAGGGTTTCGGTTCCCAAAAGCACCGGCAGCCTGGAATTTATTCGTCTTGACCTGGCCGACCTCACCACTATCAAAAAATCAGCAGAAGAATTCCTAGACAAGGAAAATGAACTACACCTTCTTTTCAATAACGCAGGTCTAGGATGGCCCGAGCCCGGTTCTAAGACGGTCCAGAGCCACGAGTTGCAAATGGGTGTTAACTGCCTCGGACCCTTCCTGTTCACAAAGTTCCTTACTCCCACTCTCATTGGAACAGCCAAGAATTCTCCCAAAGAGAGCGTTCGTGTTGTTTGGTCTTCCTCATCAGCCTGCGATGGGTTGGTTGTCGACAATTCGTTTATGGACTATGTGGAGCACCCCGAGAGAAAGACAGTCCACCAGCTATACTGTACAAGCAAGATCGGCAACTACTTTTACGGTGTAGAGTATGCGGCTCGTCACAAGGCTGACGGGTTGATGTCAATCTCTCTAAACCCCGGACATCTAGACTCTGATCTTTGGCGCACCCAAGGCGCTCTTAAGCATTGGGTTCTTCGAAAGACTGTTTTGCATCCGGTGGTTTACGGCGCATATACAAACCTCTTTGCAGCATTTTCCTCCAAGCTGACAATGGAAAACAATGGAACATTTGGTAAGCATTTCCAAGACCCAAACTGTTGGTGAATAATATAGCTAACTCAGTTTCCTTCCAGTCGCTCCTTGGGGGAGGATATGGCAGATGACTTCTGACAAAGTCAAAGCGGTGGTTCCAAAGGAAGAGGGAGGTTTGGGAACTTCGGCTGAGTTTTTGGAATGGACAGAAGCCCAAGTCAAGCCTTACGTTTGAGGGGGCGTGATCTTCGCAGTGTCACTTATTTTTTTCCCTTGGTCATAATTTTTATCTTAGTCTTCTGAGTAACTAGTAGTGTTAATTTCCTAATTTATTCATTTCATAGTATTTTCTGGTTGAATAATCTGAACATCGAGCGTGCTTGTGGTTGCCTAGAAGGTGAGAGTGAAACGAGAAAGACTATGTTGACGTCTATGTCCCGTTTAATATGCTACTACATTCTAAGCAACGTTCTCTCTCAAGCATATCAGTGTCCAGAGAGTAGATTTGATTCTTGAATATTTTACGGAACATGTGCTTTTGATATGTCTTGTACCATAACGGCTGGGCATATTTTATGTGCTTGTTCACAATCTAACCAACAACTCTAGGGTAAGCATTGAATCTTGATTGCAGCACCCAAAAATAGCTCATCGACGTGGACAAGTGGATCGGTATATGGAAAAATACGTGCTTATTTTGGCACCGGCAAATCCGCTGTTGGTCCGAGAAACAGACAAGGGCAGGGTTTGAGAAATGGGTGAATGGAAGCGAGATCGGATCACTTGCAGTGGCAACGCCAGAATAGCTCTCACCATAGTACTGGAGGTTAATGTTAATATATTCGGTATTTTATTTCCTTTCCCGTCATCTTTGCTCACGCCACAGTCTTCACTGCCACATCAGCCTCGGACTTGATTCATCTCGAATGCGAGCAAGTGGATATGTGTGGCTTCGGATCATGTGCTGACTGCATCGAGGCTGTGCCTCACTAGGCATCCAAACGGCTCCACCGCTTCTGCCTCCTGCAACCACAAATAATAATTGTACCAACTGTGCATTGTGAATTGACGTTACTCCTGGCCTAGCCGTTCAATTCCGTGAATCTTCATGCCTTCATTCCAACATGGACAGCAGTAGCCATCTGGCAATGGACGTTGTCCTGCCAGCCTTTGAATTCCAGCCGTTCGAGTACACCGACATTTCATCAAATGAGATTCGTCTTCTTTCCTTTGTTGAACGGCACGGCCAGCCAGAGAGTTATAAACTAGGCAGCATCCCATTGATTGAATGCACACTGGAGACCGTCGACTTTTATACCAGCCCGTCATACGAAGTGCTGTCATACGCCCCTGGCAATCCCCTCACTGTGCAGCCAGACTCCAACGATGAGTACGGTGATGCATGCAAATGGCCCGTGGCCGTCAACGGCCGGCTACTATATGTGCCTAGGAACTTGTACGAGGGATTATCGCGCGTGAGGCAGCTTCGCCATAACTCAAATGTCACCGCGGACGAAGAGACGCGGTACAAGCACGACAAGACGCGGCTGATAAAAGCCGCAGAACAGGGTATGCTCGACGAGGTTCTCGATTGTCTTCGCTCCGGCGCCCATCTCTATGCCAAAGACGAGTTTGGGAAAACGGCGCTTCACTACGCTGCTGAGAATGGCCGGCTTGAGATGGTTAGATCCTTGCTCGAGCATGGTGCGAGTTTGGATGACCTTGACAAGAGCCATCGTACCCCATTCGCGTGTTGTGTGCAACAACGGCGCGGGGAGTACGAAGAAGTGGCTGCACTGCTACTCAGCTGGAAGGGAGAAGACCGCGGAGACCCTGCGAGAAAGATGGGGGAACCGTTGTGGATTGAAGCATTGTGTGTTGATCAGAACAACACGGAGGAACGCAATGTCCAAGCCGCTATGATGACACAAATCTTATCTCAAGCCAGAATGGCCATAGGCTGGTTAGGAGTGGATGATGCCACTACATCTACTGCGTACAAGCTCATGATGGAGTGCGACAGCATAAGGCCCTCCATCGTTTATTATCTCCAGTACAAGTGGGATACGGGCGTTGATCAAGAGATGGAGATAGATTCAGAGTCAGATACCTCTTTGCTCTCCACCCGTGAGGTCCAAGCCATCATGACTCTACTCGAGCGCTCCTGGTTCCGACAGACCAGTGCGTCCCAAGAACTCGCCATGGCTAAAGATGTTGCCCTCTATTGTGGACCCTATTCTTTCAGTTGGACTGATACTTCGATGCTCCTACGGATTATTAAGAGCAGCGACAACGCCGTCCAGAAGCGAAAACTCGCGTCCATCACAGCGGAGAGTCAATCGAGTGCCTTGACATTGCGGGGGAAAAGAACACAATCGTGGACCAACCTCGTCGAAGATAGCGCAAGGCCTCATAAAAGGGTATCTCTTCAGAAATTTCAAACCAGTTAGATTTTAAACTAATGCTAGAATCGTTACTACAAGATGTTATTGTACATGTGTTATGAGTTAATAGTACACAGATCACCAATATGCATTCAAGGACACGAATACTTGTGGAAATGTGACTAACGAATTCTCTACTATCTAGATAACAGCCCTGTGTAATCAAGAGAAGAGAGAGCTTCATAAACCAGCCTCGAGGGATAGAAGTGTAGCCCTATAAATCCAATCCCACACTCGCCGGTTTGCTACTTATCGAGTTCTTCTAGTAGTCATTGAAAGCTAGATAGAAACCAAGCGTAGAGAGCATTGTAATCAACAGGGTCAAGCTAGGCAGGCTGGAGGAAGCGGCTGAGTCGTCGGCAGCATTATCGGAAGAGTCTGTTCCGGTAGAATTCGACGCATTGCACGTGTTCCCTGTTTCCGGAAGCGCCTCAAACGGGTTTGTGATGGAAGCTGACTCAAACCTCTCTGCTTCAGGTTTGGTGCTGTCTGAGCAGAAGCCTACAACTCCTGTCAATCCATCTTTAGTTGAATTGCCCATGTCGAATTGCGAGCACATCATGATAGTGTTGGCCGGATAGTAGTCAACCCAGGAAAAGCACATTTCCTGTTGGCTTGAAAGGCCACCTTTCACTGGTTCAGTGTCTCCTGTAGTCTCGAACTCGCAGGTGGTAATAAGCATATCTCCAGGCAGCAGTTTTATCTGATTCAAGCCTTTGGAGAACTGGTACCCGTAGTCAAAGTGGCGAAGTTCCGACAGCGGAGCAATCTCCTTGCCGTCCCGAATGATCTGGACACGCGCGTTGCGACCGCGATAGTGCATGTGGTGAAATACAGAGAAAGCCGTGATACCTTCCTCAGGCCAGTTGCCTGTGCATTCAGGCGTGCAGACTCTTGAAACTGCGACCAACTCCTTGCCAGGCTCGAGGGTGAAACGATTCCCAACGTCGCCGAGGGTTAGACTGCCGACCTCGGTCTTTACGGGTTGATCGGTGTAGATGAAGCTAAAGCTAGCAGCGTCCTTTTGACCGTCGATGAGGTCAGGATTGTTGTAGTGTGTCTCCAGCATGACATATTCGTAATAGTCCTCGCCGAATGGTTTGCCGTACCCTGGCTCGAACGTGCGGCCGGACATTCCGGGGGACCATTCTGTGACGAATCCGTTGCAAGGATTCGAGAAGTCGTCGGAGCAAACAGCATCCTTGCCAACCATTTCTTTGTCTTGGTCAGTGATGCCGTAGCATGCGTAGAGAACCAAGTGATGCAGAAAGTCGCTCGACCTCTCGGGCCGCTCGCCAAGTATATAATTCTTTTTGCCAGAAGGCATCTTGTGCATAGTATAGCAGTAGGTAGTCTCTTGAGTAGGGATGGCAACCTCAGACTGTGTGAGGGTAAAGTTCTTGGCGTTGTCGACGGGTCGGATTTCGTTGACCGAAATGGTCTCACCTGTGCCCAACTTGACATACGACTTGCCCTTGTTGCCAGCTTTATGCTGGGCAAAGGTGTTTTCGTCTGAAAAGGCGTAGATGAACCATTGCCACGACTCTGTATTGACGTTGACTTGCTCTGCCAGGCAGTCAGCGACGTTCTTCTTCTCGAAAACGAACGCTGTGACGCCATCTTGCTGATGGCCTTCCTTGAGTCGCATGTTGTTCTGCTGATCTTTGGAAACTTCTGGAGACACAAAGCCGGCCGCGAAACGATTTTCGAATTTGAATTCGCCGTTGTCCATGGAGCCCACGGCTATATCGGCGCCTGTCATTGCTCCAGTCTCGCTGAACCCGAGGGCAAGGTAACCCTTTGAGCGAGAAGCAATTCCGTAGGTCGAGTACTCGTCTCCGGTTTTCCAGAATAGCTGGACGTCGCCCTTTGTATCAAGGGTAGCATTTCCGTTGAACTGAGCCAGATCGAATGGAATCCAGCTAGTGTCACTGCTCGCCGCGTTTACCATTACCGGCATTCCCAAGGGGAACATCAGCAGAGGCAAAGCGGAGAGGGAGGCAGAAATCCCTGCATGAATGTAGCGGGATAGCAGCATCTTCAACAAGATCCCTTAGCTGGGAAGCTGCCGCTGGAAGAATGATGCAAATCCAAGCGTGAAATAGGATAAACAAAGGGATTTCGTTTCAGTAAAATAGAAGATTTAGGAGTAGGTAAAGTCCTATGAGGATAAGAGAGTGATGATGGCTGTCTTCTTTTTGACCACCTTGGATACGCCGAGACCGAGCTTTATAGAATTTTCTCTGGTATCCTCAATGCCGCGAGAGGTTCTCCTCATTGCCGTTACAGCTTCTACATCTAGAAACGATCACCATCGGGTACCGCTTCCCTTGAACACTATGATAAACGAAAACCATTTCCGTTATCACAAGGATTGCTGTTCTCCAATGATATCCTCCCCGTGGGTTGAAATCTCCGGTTTGTTTTGGATCCTGTGAGATACGAGGTGTCCTAGCTGGGGAGAACCCAGATGGAATACTACTTTGCAGGCTTGAAAACCAGCAATCGGGCTGTAGATCTACCCGAGCCAAGAGAATCTGAGGTATTCTGCGCCCTCCAATTACGCGTCCCCTAATTCAAAGCCCATGGATGGTTGTCCAAATGCCGCTTTGTAATTACACCGATTCGTCAATACCTTCCCCCTGAAGAATCTCGGAGTGGGGGTGGGTTGGGCCGGGCAGGTATGCTTACTTCCGTTGCCGAACCTTGCTCGTCTATTTAGAGGGTCTAAGAGTCCTGCTGCATCTTAGATACGCCTATTTGCATCAAAGGAACCTTTCAAAAACACGGATTTCCTGTCTTCTCCCAAATACACACTCCTTATGTTTCCCATCTTCTCAGCGGTCAATATGAATGCAAAGAAGTTCTGGTTTTTGGTGACTCTTGGTAAGTTGATTCCCAGCTATTAAGAACAACAATCTGTAGTTCCTTAGACATTCATTTCCGCAACCTGGCAAATCTAACTCAGTGTCTTCTCTATTCTAGGTGTTTGCCAGGTCTCTTCCTCGCCAGTATCATTTTGCCCTGATGACTCTGACATCTGTTTCCAATGGGCTGTCCCCGAAGCCGGAAGCGAGAACGTCTATCTTCAAATCGATGCCCCGACATCATACCAGTGGATCGGACTGGGAATAGGCAAGCAGATGGCTGGCGCTGCCATGTTCTTGGTCTACGAAGACGGCCAGGGAAATGTCACTGTTAGCAATCGCAACGGAAAGGGCCACTCCATGCCTCTTCTGGGTGATCAAGATAGTATTTCCTTGCTCGATGGATCTGGCGTCAAAGATGGTCGAATGATTGCCAATGTTCTCTATAAAAACTCTGGAAAGTTGGACGTTTCAGGCTCTAGTGACTGGATCATGGCCAAGAAAGAAGGCGCCTCATTGGCCTCGGTAGATCCGGACGCGTCGGTCGCTGTTCATGATTCACACTCTGCTTTCAGCGTGAACCTCGCCCAGGCATCTGTTTCGGTCGACTCTAATCCATTTTCTGAAAACAACGACAATGGCAACGATGTTTCTGGTGGAGATGCCACAAGTGTGACAGAAACAAACAGCAACCCCAACAGCAATCTCATCCTGGCACATGGCGTCATATTGACCGTCGTTTTCGTTGCCGTGTACCCCCTTGGCTCCCTGCTGATGCCTTGGCTTGGCAAGTGGTATATTCACGCTGCCTGGCAAATGGTTGGGTTCTTGGCTATGTGGGCAGGCTTCGGTATCGGATACGTCGTTTCCAGCGACCTTGACATTGTAAGCACCAGACTGAGTAGAATCTTTTCCTTGACGAGAGGCCCAACTGACGTATAACTACTTAGTTCTTTGACCAAACTCACACACGTCTAGGTGTTGTTGTCGTCGCCTTGCTAGGCATGCAACCTATCCTTGGCCTTCTTCATCATATACAGTACCGTCGCCAAGGGGCGCGTGGTGCTTTCGGCCATGTCCACATATGGTACGGCCGCGCGTTAATAATAATGGGTATGGTCAATGGTGGACTTGGGCTACAACTGACTGGCGCTTCCGACACTTATGTTATTGTGTATTCTGTAGTTGCGGGTATCTCTGCGCTCATGTACGCTGGGTACTCTACCTTTAAAGCCATCAAGACGGAGGAGAAGAAGAAGTAAGCAGGTTTGGATTTGGTGGGTTTTGTGTGTTCGGAATGGTATTGAACCACGTTCGTGAAAAGCGTTGCAGTGGTTAAATGCAGATAGCATGGGTGCAAAGGATCTTTCTAATATGTTTACTGAGTTGAGATGCTAAGGATGTAGCGATACTTCAGTGTGTATCTTAATTTCGCGAAATATTTCATTTGTCTTAGAATCAAAAAGAATCCCGCCTGGGTATATGGGAACACAGAGGGAGTGTGGATCGCATCACCGCACCAATGCCGCTCGGTCAGTTCCGTTTCTTCTTCAAGGCTTCATCCCGTATGCCAGAAGGATATGCCTAGCCGCTCTGTCTCCACTCGCCCAAGCTCCCGTTGTTGTACCTATGGCCCTTGGAGCATTGGTATGCTCTCCAGCAAACCATATGCCGCGGTCATGGCCCATGAGATTGTGCCCCAATTTTCCTTTTCCTCCACCTGTCCTCAGCATTCTAAAGTCTTCCGCCGCGTTGTTCTGCGTAACTCGTACATTTGAATAGCTCCCATATGCAAAAGGATCGTTGAACCACTGAGAGGCTAGGAATGATGCGGGCCGGCAGGTATCCGCATTATAGTGAGGGAGTAAAGCATAGAATGGCTCTGTAATTTCCCGAAGGACCTTATTGTAAGGCTCCGAATGAGGTTCCATGCCTTTTAGAATGGGCATAAGCTTGTGTGTGAGCGGCGGGCAGATATAGAAGAGTAGTGTAGGATGCCCATTTCCGCCTGGCAAACTCGAAAGGCTGATGACCATCTGACTCCAGGAACCCAATTCAGGCGTGTACGGGTGGCTCCGAGGACTCAAAAAGTCCCACTGGCAAAAGGCTGGAGGACTCATGCCCTTTCGCTCGGGTGGATCCCAAAAAGGAGTTGGGAAACTAACCAGAATCTTCTCCAGGCCTCCATATCCAATGGCGTCGACGGCCTTCTCCATCTGAGGGGGCAGCCGGGGGTTGAATACACCCTTGTTCCGCTGCAGCCAGCCGATGGGGCAGGTCATGACCACTTCGTCAAAGGATTCAACCAGCCCGGCTTTCGTCTCGATGGTAACAGCCCCAGCGTCGTCTGCCCTAGGCGATGTCGTGATCTTGACGACCTCCTGGTTCAACTGAATTGCCTCGGAAGCTTCCAGGGCGAGACTCTGGACGATAGCCTTGTATGTAGAAGCCACAAAAACATCTTCCCCGGTGTGGCCATCCTGAAGATGCAGGAACTTAAGGCTCTGTGACTCTAGAGGATCGGCAAAAAAGCTATCGTATCCACGCAACATTTGCTCGCAGATGACCCTGAACTCAGCGGACAATTTAGACTTTGCGATTTCCTCTAGCATGAAGTCTCGAACAGTCCTGCTGGGGTTAATCTCGGCTTGGTTTCGATGGCTGTACTCTTCAGCTTGGTCCAGTAATGCTTTGACGAATTCCTCGCATTTTTCTGCCACATCACCTGGTATTGGGCGTCCGTAGGTGTCGAAGACGACGCTCAAGGGGTCATCCTTACATACGACTGTATCTGTTTGAGCAGCAAGTCGCGCCATGGGGTTGTTATTCATGCCATGGATCCAGTTTGCGCCCCTGATGGTCAATTATCACTTCGCTACGTCGACGATTCGTTACTTACATGTCGACACTGTGGCCGTTTAGCTTTTCTTGGTGGACCTAAAAGGTTACTTAGTCAAGCGCACGAATCTTTCGCCGTATCTACTTACTCGGCCTCCAATTCTATCCCTTGCCTCAAGAACTGTCACTTGGAAGCCCTTTTGGAGCAGGACTTGAGCACTCCGAAGCCCGGAGATGCCAGCGCCAATCACACTGACGCGAGGCATCTTATTCTGGGCTGCAAGCTGTGCAAGTCGTGCATTCCGTCTATCGTCCATATTGTTGCGCTTGGATATAGAGGGGATTAGCCTCAATGTTTCAGCTGACAGTGTTCAGACAAGACGTTAATAGTCTGGAAGTAACGTGGTACTATCGGAATATAAAGTAGGTCGATTATGTATTACAAACCACGGAAAAAAAATAGCAAAATTGAGGTTCCTATGTAGTTTTCATGAGTCATAACGGATCCATCACGTCACAGTATTAAATCAAAAATGGTTCTGCCTGTTATACGAGCACGGGTATCCGTAACACAACCCACCCAAACGAGAGATCCGTGATCATCAGAATGAAGCTTCACTTTTCATGGACTGATCATCGATCGTTATTGAGTTGACCGTGCTCAAGTTTCCAAGCTAACAATGATTGTTCTGACTCGCAATTTCGGGATGGACATTATCCGAGAGTGATATGTCGACTTTGAGCCCCTGTTTGCCTCCAACCCAGTCAAATGGGGACCTCGTTCACTAAACCCAAGTGAGAAAATCCAAAAAGGTCCGCGGAGAAAGGGGCAAGGAGTGGAGCTTCTGTGTGCCCCCACGCGATTTGTTTCACAGGGAAAACCTTGCAAAAGAGGCCTCACGTGTCGAACCGACAACTCAGTCAATCCACAGCCGTCTTGGCCGGCCCTCGTCATCATGTCGCTCCCTCCAAATGACTCGGCAGGCGTGTCCGATCGATCCGCAGACTCGCGCCGATCGGAGGAGCATGAAGCGCTGATTTCCGACAGTCTTTTGGCGGATAACCGCCAGTTCATAGGACTCACGGAGGAAGACGTGAGGGCGCCCTATCTAGCAGAAAGTCCATGTTCATGAGTGCTAATAAATGATGTCTCTGGCAGAATAAACGGATACGGTGCAAGACCGACCTGCATATCCTAACCATTCTGGTTTGGGTTTATTTTCTTCAAATCCTTGACAAGTCGGTCCTCGGCTACGGTGCTATATTCGGCTTGAGAGAAGACTGCGAGCTGACCGGCAATCAATATTCCATGGTCAGCTCTGCTTCGGCCGTCGCCCAGCTCCTGGTAATGCCCCTCACGTCTTGGATCATGGTTAGAGTGCCGCATCGGACTCTCATGGCATCTCTTGTCCTCGGGTGGGGGGCGGCCCAGACCTTCATGGCCGCTTGTAATGGCTTTACCGGGCTCCTCATCACGAGGTTTCTATTGGGGGTCTTCGAGGCAGGCTGTCTCCCCCTGTTTTCCATCATCACTTCCCAGTGGTACCGCCGGGCTGAGCAGCCAATCCGTGTGGCCGCCTGGTATGGGACCAACGGTCTCTCAACGATGCTCGCGGCCGCTGTATCTAATGCTTTTGGCCACATCCATAGTGGAGTTGCCTCTTGGCGCATTCTATTTCTCTTTGTTGGTCTTATGACTGTTCTCTCGTCACCGGTGGTTTACTATATCATGGACAGTGATATCTCAACTGCATGGTTCTTAACTAAACGAGAGAGATTGCAGGCTCTTGAGCGGCTGCGGACGAATAAGACTGGGATGGGATCTCACGAATTCAAGTGGAACCAAGCTTTCGAAGGTATTTGTGAGATTAAAAGCTTGTTATTTGTCGGGATGGCGGTATGTATCAACGTTACCGCTGCTGTGGCCAATACCTTTGGCCCTATCGTTGTGGAGGGATTTGGCTTCAGCCCGGAGAAGGCTTCGTTGCTCAACATCCCCTTTGGTGCCGTCCAACTTCTTGTCATCTTCCCAGCATCATATCTCGCTCATCGATTTCGGATCAAGTCCCTATTCCTCAGCCTTGTTCTCCTCCCCGTGCTTGGAGGGAGTATCATGCTCCACGTTCTGGACCGTGACCGAACAGTACTCTTGTTGGCCGCATACTACGCACTAGCATTTGTCTTTGGTGCGAACCCGTTGCTTGTTTCTTGGATCATCTCTAATGTGGGCGGAACCACGAAGAAATCCGTCCTATTAGCTTTGTACAACTTTGGCACGTCCGCTGGCAACATCATGGGTCCTCTGCTCTTCCACTCCGAGGATGCACCCTACTACAGACCTGGTCTACAGGTCACTATGGCCATCACTTGTATTCTGATTGCCATCATCGCACTTCAGGTAGTGCATCTTTTCTATCTCAATAAAATGCACCAGCGCTCGCGTGTGGCGCACGGCAAACCCGCCATACTTCACGACACGAGCATGGAGCACGAGTATGTCGGCTCAGATCAGAATCCCAGCAACGGCCAGCAGCTAGGCACCGATCCATTTGATGACTTGACTGATTCGAAGAATGACGAATTTGTTTATGTGTATTGAATTTTATTAGATATCATATACTGATAGAACTTTCCTATTACTCTCAAGGTAGGGAAAGGAAAATGAGAACTAGAGGCTATAGAGAGGTGAAGGAAAGAGCAAGGAAAAGAGATTGAATATCGAATACAATAAATCCTGTTAGAACTTCTAGAGCTTTGGCGAATAGCCTTGCATAGTTTTAAGAAGGTGTTCACTCGGAACCCGAATTAAGCCCAACCCCAATCACGCTCTATCCCAATGACGTTCTATTGGTGTCCGATGGCCCATGGTGAGTCAGTTCACCAGTCGTCCCAAACAGAACTATATCATCCAAAGGCTACACTCATTAAAGGTAGCTTAGTCCTGGCCCATACTCGTCATGAGCAAAGGCTATGAGGTCGAGGAGGTCATATGGCTTCAGTTTTCGTACTAGAACAATATCTGGTGGGTTGCAGATGGCGAATATAATTCATGAGAACGTAATTCTTAAGATAGCCGCACAACCATTATATTAGAGAGTACAAGTTGGCTGAGTATTACGGATTAATAATTGTGTAATGAGTTAGTAACAAGCTTAGGTCATGTTGGTTTGACTTGACAAGATCTTGATTGAAATTCTCAGTCCTATAGAACATTCCTTCAATATGAAAACCCCGCGGTAAGGCGTGGTTAAACGTGGTCAGGCGACCGTGTGTTTTAAACTAAATCGCATTTGTAGTGCCGATGTATAGCTACCAGTTAATATGACTTGAATCATCCATCCAGGAAAGGTTTACTACCCCTCCTCTGCACACCCTGTTGTGGTTAGTTAGGCTCAACAAAAGGAAAAGTCTTGGTGCTCATGATGTCATGCCACAGGCTCTGATAGGATAGTTCACGTACTGGACTGTGATTAGTGAAGCATGTTTTGAGACATTACAATTAGATGAAGGCAGTTGATTGGCGGCGGCAAAGAATGCCCAGCCACACGGTCCCTTTTTAAAAGACCAGACGGGGGTGACTTTTCTTTTGTTTCCAAGCAAAGTTTTCATCACATATCTTTTCGCCATGTAGCCGTTTAACCCCCTTTCACGTCAACTACGTTTATTTGCTATGGTTCTGGTTCCTCAAGGACCGGGCCTCACCCTTCTCAGCGTCTCCATCACCTTCCTGGCATTATCCTGGATTTTTGTAGCGGTGCGCTTTACCGTTCGGTACAGGAAAAGATGCATTGGTGCTGATGACTGGCTCATGGCTGCGGGCCTGGTAAGTTCCTGCTCATACTCCAAGCAATCCTGCCACCCTGTGGGAAAACATGTCTTACTTACTATTATACTCTACCTAGATTCTGTTCACTATTCAATGCGTAGCAACAATCGAGGGGGCCTATAACGGAGTCGGCGCTCGTGACTATCGATTGACGCCAGAGCTGAATGAAGAAGGTCGCAAGGTAAGATAATCCTGAGGGTCGTTGATTAAGAAGAGGTGATGCTAAACGGAAGCAGTGGTTCTTAATATTTCAACTCTTCTATGTGACGAGCACCGTTCCTATAAAGGGCTCAATTTGTGTTATGCTGCTTCGCATCACCCCATTCACGATATACCAGAGAATTCTCTACAGTGTCATGGCATTCAGTCTACTTTCTGCACTGATTGTCGACATTGCTTTCCTAACGCGATGCCAGCCTATTTCTGCGACATGGGATCCAAAGGCTGGGAGATGCGCGAACCAATCGGTCGTCACCAGTATCAGTTATTTTATCTCTGCCTCGACCATCGTGACTGATTGGTCATGTTCTATCTTGCCGATATTTATTCTACGGCATGCCCGAATGCCGCGGAGGATGAAAGCTTCTATTGGAATTATCCTGGCACTGGGAGCTGTGTAAGTGGCACGTCCACTCCTGATCCAGCCCGAATTATCCCCCAAGCTAACCAATTTCTCGGGACTTCATAGAGCGAGCACTGCAAACATTGTTCGATTAAAGTATGTGATTGCGTACGAGGATACCGTTGACTACCTTTATGGAATTGCCAATATTGCAACCTGGTCAGTGGTTGAATCAGGCACTGGCATTGTGGCTGGATCGCTACCTCCCATGGCACCTCTGATCAAACATATCCCCATAATCGGTGTCGGTTTTGCCAATGTTGCCCGAGGTCAGGATACGATAAACTTCGGCTCAACGAACCTGAGACAACTTGACACGACTATGCATACAATCGAGAACTCTTCTACGTTGCCTGGAAATGTAATATGTAACGAAAGGACACAGTAGTTTGGAGGGAAACTACGTGCAGGATAGCCTGGGTGGCATGACACGCAAGAGCGTCCACGCTATGCTAGATGACCTTCTATGCCGAATATTAAGCCACGGGTGTTTGTTCACGTCGTATAGATTCTCTATGTTCCACCTCTATATAAGAGAGCTACATACAAGTAGTTAATAGATCATACTCACTAAATAGCTATCAAGGTCGTGAGCTTGAGATGTTCATTGAGTGTTGATTTTAAATCTGCTGTATGTTGTCAAATAGACCTCATGGAAATGCGATAGAAAGGAGATGAGATGGTGTTATTGCCAGCCTAACATCGGTGTTTCAAGCGAAAGGCTTTCCTGCTACACTTTACCTGGTCGTAAATCAAGTTTACAACGTCATTGACGCGCGGTACAGCCTGCGGCCCAAAAGAGTAAAACAGTTATTGGCGCCAGAGAGAGGACCAATGAGCGGAATTTATCCTGCTTACAGCCTTCCTTCGCGCATTTGTTGCCCAGGTCTGGGCTTTTCTCGCCACCGCTGGTGGACTAAGATTGAGCCCAGGCGGATCTCCACTCGAGGATGATAACTTCCCTGTTCATTCATACTAAAAGATAAAGGCTACAGTAAAGAGACAAGACTCGAAAGGAGAGAGGGGGGGAGATAAGGACAAAATTCCTGTGAGTTTGTGATCGATCTTTGTGATCATGGCGATCTTCATTGCTATAGCACCCTGGACTCACAATTATCGTTGATTGCCCCAACAAATAGCTCTCCTCTGGCTTGCTCGTTTATGAACCAATACGATTGCGAGTAGAAAACGGCATTTGTCTAGCTTGTCTCAGCCTAACCGGCAATGTTCAGGGGTAAAACTGGGTCAACAGAATTGTGATGGACAATGTATGGTTGATGGGGGCTATGAGAAAGCGTACGTATCTGTAGCTAAGTATCTAGAGTAGGGACTCATCTATAAGTCGCTCAAGGGAAGCTGACAAGTCGTTTTCCTGAACTATCCCTCCCTCCGTTGCTGCTGTTGAAGGTGGTAGGAAACGTGGAATCGATGCCACTAGGCTGTTTTAGGATAGTTTTCGACGGTCAATTACGGTGGGAATGAGCAGGGGTTTCCAAAGGAATCCTGTGGCCATGCCCAGAAACAGGACCGGTCACTCCGTAAGGCACCAGGGTCGCGGCCAACTCATCTGGAAAACGTGACGGCCGTCTTTGTTTTGGTGCTTGGCCCTATCATCTCCATTTTCGAACCACATCCCAAGATCTGTCGCTTGCGAGTTATAAGTTCTACGCATGGTCATTGCAACAGTGTCAGCATCTCATTCCCGTTGCCTGTCCACCTTTCAGCCGCCGTCCGTCATCAAACGTCCCGGCAGCCTGCATTAGTGCTCACTCATTCCCCATACGTCAGCCCTCGCCTCAAAAAGCCCTACGCACAGTGAGTTTCCGCGTCCATGGTTGGTGTCCCAGGCAAATCCACCGCTTGTCCGGACTGTCGGAAACGAAGACGGCCTGTAAGTCAGCCATCGCGCTCCTTTGCTTTATAATACAGCGCATTTTACTCTCCCCCACCGTCTCAACTTCCTTGTGTCCCGATTGCGGCAAAAACTGACCATTTTCAGTGCGACCGTGAACGGCCAGCATGTGGCCAGTGTAGGAGAGCGGGTGTTGAATGTGGGGGGTATGGGAAACCCTGGATTTTCGTGAATAACACCGTGGAGCAAGATGACGGAATCGTCCTGGAGCTGAGACAGAAATCATACTCCATGGAACTGGAGCCGGTCCCGAAACCCAAGAGCCGCCCACTGGAGAGAAGATTTATCAATGCCATTAAGGCCCAGATAAACGGCCGGCCAGTTGTGCTTCCACAATCTTTAAATCGGACTTCTTATGAGGAAATATTCGTCGAATCTTTCTGGTCGACCTATCTTCCATCGCCCGGCGCACACTCATCTAAGGAGGCAGTACTCTACAACACAAGTGACTGGATACATGTTGTTAGAGATTTGTACCGCGATAATGGGCCTTTACGTATGATTTTTCTCGCCAACTGTGTGGCATTGAAAGGCTTCGAGGATAACAAGCAATGGCTTGTTGAGAAGAGCCATCAAATGCATGGGCGGGCTCTGAATGCTATCGCGCGGTCTCTCTGCCATCCTGATGCCTATAAGAGTGACGCGGTATTGGCGGCAGCTAGGATGCTCATATTATTCGAGGTAAGTACTTATATCTTTAGATATAGGGCGCTCTAGGATCTGACGAAGGGAATAGATATGCTACGGCGAGAGCCTTGTGACTGCAACACCTCAGTCGCGACGATGGCACACCCACGGAGCAGGCCACATGGCCATAATGTACTCGAGGGGACCGCACTGCTACAAGCGCGGCTACGCTCATCAGCTGTTTTGTGATGCTCGATTACACCAAGTTAGTTGATAACCTCCCGTTGAAGACTTTCGAAAGAGGCCGGTGCACTAATTATATCATCCAGTCTGTCGTGGATGGGCTACTCAGGCGAAGATGTCTCTTGTCCACGCCCGAATGGAAAGAAATCCCATTTTCGGAAATACCGAAGAGGCCCAAGGATGAACTCATAGATGTAGTATCTGAGGTTGGTGGGCTTTTTGAAGACGCAGACAGCGTCCGGGTGTTGTCCGACCCCGCGGAGATCCACCGAATCCTGGAGGATGTCACGAGAAGGGCTTGGTCGCTGAACGATGACTTAGACAGGTGGGTAATAGGATCAGGTCGTCGGATTATGGAGTTCATGGACTCGCATCTCTGTTTCGTTCCGGCCGAGCCGCCATCGAACGAAGAGCTGATGCTTGGTGATCTCGCGATGAACTACCTAGCTTTTCGCGTCATTCTCCATGCCTTCCTGGAATCCACAGCCCAATACGTCCCGAATATGCCAAGATCGGGTGACATTCAGCCGATGGATTACTGCCGTCAAATTGGACAGTATATTCCATTCTTCCAAGCTGCCAAAGCGACGGTTTGGACTATCCACATGCTGGCTCTTCCGGTCGGCTCTGCGCTTACGTACCTCGAAACACAAACAGGCAAGAAAGACGCACTCGAAGTCAAGTTGCTCCTCACTCAAGCCATGAGTGGGAAAGCAAGTTCTGCTATCATCAGGTTTTTAAAGATGTTACAGAAGTACGAAGGGGGCGCTCCTCGCATATAATGGCAGCGACCTCATTTCACCCCACAGTTTGCACTGCTAGTTCTGGTAGCTTAGAGCTTTCAAGGATAGATTTGAGTTTGCAGAGACGTGTAGGGAAACGTTCCTTATAGTGATGCCTTCTTATCCAAGTCGTGATTTTCACAAAAAGCTGAAGTTTCATCCAAGGGTTGGGTCTGCGAGCTGTTTCCCATATGTGGAATTTAAATGAGATTCGAATCACTCCCCCAGTATTGAATGTTCATGAATCTCGAGTCTAAGCATTAACTGACCCTGCCATCCAACTCGGACTACGAGTATATTGGGGGGCTCACCAACTCTTCCGCTGATATTTAACCTTTTTCTCGTTTTCTCCGGTACTTCTTACCCTTATCCTAGAATTTATGAAATCTAATCACGACCTCTACGTCCGATATCTTGAAGCTGTAGCGTTTATGGGTAAAAGTAGGCTGAGCATGTGCGTGCATTACGGAGAAATAGCTCCGGCTCCGGCTCCTACCTACCCTAAAGCTTGGTCAAACTGCCGGCGTGACGAACATCACGACTGAGATAACAAACCCGGACGGAAAATGCAAAGACATTCAAACGCTGTATCGAGAGTTTTACCAAAAGTAACATTTCGAAGGAAAAAATTACTGTTTGGGCGTCTCAGATCTAGGGATTACCTCCATAGCTGTGACCATTTATGCATGCAACATCTCTTTCCCCAAAGTGGAGCAAAAAGAAGAAAAGAAAGAAAAGAAATGCATCAAATCTACGGCCAAGTATCCGGTATTTGCAGACAACAATCATCTACTCCATCAGATAATATATATTATCTTAACAATCTGGAGAACACGAAGCCGAGGTCGCCACAATACTTGTGCCGTGATCCCCAGGAATAATTCCCGTGATGCCTCGTGATATTTTGGTATTAGCTGAAGACCATGCACTAGCCCTGATCTGTTTTAGCCCTGGAACTATCTACATACTATTAAATATTACCCCTTGAGTCTCGATCTCATTATGGACAAGCCTCAGGTACCCGATTGGATCACATTTGGGTTGTCTCCCTTTTTTCTTCCGTGCCAAGAGTAGACGATGGGCTAGAACAGCGTGAAGTGGCGGCGGCAAGGCGGCGACTGGCAGCTGAGTCCAGTCGAGATCCAGCGAGGTCACGCTGAATGCCAATAGTCTGGGGTTTGATGCGGACCATTGCCCATGGGTAGCCGAGTCCATCGGCACTTCAAAGGGGAGATGTTCCTCTCAGAGTCTGTGACCAACTCAAACCTCCTTCGTTCAGTACCACATCCGTGCTTCGGCGCAATTGCACTCGTTCAAAGAGCATTTCGTGGACAATGCGCTCTCTTGTTGGCCTGAAGGCCTTGGTGACCCTGGCTGGGTTGCAGGATGTCGCGTTGGCCAAGAAAGCTTGCAAACCACGCTCCTCCTCTGGCCTAGGTACCTCTCTGACGACCGCCCAAACGGCAACCATCACCCCGAGCGCGGGAGGACTTGCCCCTCGAGGCGTACCCAACATTGTGGTCAATGGAAACTTTGTAGGCTATGATCCCAGTGTCGCGGGTGGAATCTATGGATTTGAAGCAGACGGGGACGCTCGCCAGGTCACTGGCATCGGATACACCGGCGACAACAGCCAGGAAACAGCCTGTGCATACTTTACGGTGCCTGATTCCCGCAACACTAACACCGGTGTTTCCAAACGTGACGGCGTTGAAAGCCCACAAGTCGCCAGCATCCGGCAATGGCTGCAGTCGACGGATCGAGAGAGCGTCTACACGATGCGTGTCTGGTACTACGTCGACTACAACAAGTTGGCCGACACTTGCAAATTGGTTGCTACCTACGACAACAATGTCTTCGTCGAGTCGCCCTACTTCCCAGTTGTAGCCAAGGACTCTGGGTCGTTCAGTTGGTCGCCTCTGATCCAGCAGAGTCCCGTCCTTTCTGACAGCGGCTATCTCAAGTTTGAAGTGCAGTGTACCGGAGGCGGTGCTGCCGATGTTCGGTTCGATCAGGTCTTCTTTACCAACGAGGTCAGCCTGAGGGACCTCGACGATATCACAGTCATTTACTCTTCGTTCGCCGATACTCCAACGGTACCCCCGACTATCAGCTCTACTGCCACTTCTCCTGCTTCGGCAACTGCGATCTTGAGCACCGGCTCAACCACTGCTGCTGGATCATCTACCGTTGCTGGCTCTACAGTTTCTCCCGGGACGATTGCTTCCTCGGCCACAGGCTCAGGAACTCAGATCGCTAGCTCCACCTCCTCCTTGCCGCCCTCTACTTCATCCAGCGTCGTGGGAGACAACACTTGTATAGTTTTGGGTCAGGCTAGTGTTGCTGGCAGAGGGTGTGCCAAGCGCCCGTATTCTGGGTCTTCTGGATACAAAACCTTCCCAAATCCCGACATCACCAAGGATCAGTGTGCCGCTCTTTGCTTGAGCGACGCTCGATGCCAATCGTTTCAATGGAGCACTCAAGGCTCGGGATGCCAAAACTATTGTTCTTTGCTGGAAACCTCTCTTTCTGCTGGCTCTGCCGACAACGGTGGGAGTGGCTCCCCTTGGGCCTATGACCGATCTTGCATTACTCAGTCAACATGTCCGCAAGCCCCTGCCGATACCGTCTGCGTTAATGGTCAGGGGAACACGCCTGATGCCGGTTGCACACAGTTCCAGGGCGTGGCAAAGGCTTGTGCGACGCCATTCATGACTGCCAGCATGAGTCTCGTGTGTGGTGTCAGCAATGGGTGCCGAGACCTCTGTGCCCAGACACCTTCCTGCAAGTCTTACTCTTACTCTTATGATAGCACGAACAACTGCAAGTTGTACTCGGCATCAGCTGCCACGGTTGGGACTGCTCAAGGAAGTGGTAGCATCTTGTTCGCGGACGCGAGCTGCTCTGCTTGTGGGACAGGCATGTCGCAGTTCAAGTATCTGCCAAAGCTGTCAGACCCCTCAAACATGCCCATCCTGAACTGCCCAGATCCTTCAGCCACTCCAGCTTCGTCCTTGGTGCCGACTACTACCACACAGTCCTCCCCGTCAACCGCATCAAGCTGTCCCCAGTATATCACAGCTCCAGGAATGTGCTATGGCGCCACACCGACAGCTGTCGGCTCCGTGTGCAACAAGCGTGGAACCAATTCAAATACCTATACCAAATCGCTCGATGAGGTTCCGAACCAGAGCATGTCCGAGTACTGTGCCCTGGCATGCGACAGCGATTCTGAGTGCAAGTCTTACACATGGGATTACAACCTCTCCCCGTTCAGCTGCCAGTTTTCCAAGAACACAGTCACCGACAACATCGCTGCTGACCTTTTCATTCCCAGTGAAATGGTCAACCAGCGCTGGTACGATATAGGGTGCATGAGGTGCGTTCACTGTGGCACTACCCCTCAATCATCGACCTTGTTATCTTCGTCTTCGGCATCTTCAACTATTCCATCAGCATCAACTACAACAGCCGCGGCATCACTACCCCAGAACACATGCCCAGGCGGTCTTGCGTGTACACTTAAGACATTCGCCCCCGCTGGTGTTTTCTGCAAGCAGCAAGGCCAGTTTAGTGGTCTGATCGGTGCCTCAGTGCCCGATGCAGTCAAGTTCCCCCAAAAGGCGACCTCTGCAGAGGAGTGTGCTTCTATTTGTTCTCAGACCACGAACTGTCTGGCGTCGTCCTTCTCGGCTGTGCAGGGATGCGGTCTTATCACCGAGACACTTGCACAAGCTGGGTTTGTGCCTGGAAGCACATCTGACTCTTGGGGTACTGTTTGGAGTGATAATACTTGCTTCGACTGTGCAGCATGTGGTACTGCAGCATCTTCCACAGTGGCCACCCCAATAAGCACACCATCGTCAGCCATACCGGCGGCTACTTCTACCGGAAGCTCAACAGCGTTACCAACTGACTGCTTGGGTCTGAGCTGCCGGATCACTTCGCCTGTTGCTTCTGGAGTGTACTGCAGACAGCCCGGTGACTTCCAGGAAGATATTGGTGTATGGAGTCCTGACCCAGTCAAGTTTCCCCTCAAGCCCATAACGGTAGAGCAGTGTGCGGCCATTTGTATGCAGGATTCGAGATGCAAAGCTTCTTCAATGACCTCCAGAGGCTTGTGCCAACTCTTTGACCGCACACTCAGCGCAGCTCATTTCACACCCAGCACCGTCAAGAGCATGGATGTCTGGAGCGATAATGCATGCTTTGAGTGCTCATCATGCAGTAGCACGTCTACGCCTATATCGCTTGTTTCGAGCACAGTGCCACCCTCAACCACGACAACTCCAACACCATCAAGCACCACAGATGGATGCCCGACGTGGCTCCCTGGTCCGGGTGGATGTGTTCATTCAACCCCGTTCCCGTCAGGGTATGTGTGCGACGTCAAGGGCACCGTTCCTGCAAGCAGTGTCTACACGTACTCTTTGGTGACACAACCTCTCCAGCGGGGTTTCGGCGACTGTGCCTGGATCTGTTTCAACGACCCTAGCTGCAAAGCCTACGGATGGGTATCGGGTACATCGTCAGGGTGCAAGTTCTCAACAGTATCCTTAGATGGACAGCTCACCACAGACTCAACATCCGATACAAGATGGTTCAACATGAACTGCCCCCAGTGTTATTCTTGCCCGAACAAGGCTCCTCTCTCGACAAAGACACCAGTGTCCACCTCGCCGCTCACTATGTCCACTCCTACCACTTTCGGTACAATAACAACACCAGTTTTGTCAAGCATTGATACAATAACTACACCAGCTCCATCAAGCACTGATCTCATCTCGTCTTCCAGCAGCGAGCCACTCATTACACCCTACCCACCCATGACAGCGACAACTACTGCCGCGACAACAACCACAACGGCCCCGATTGCAGCCCAAACTTGCTCAGTGCCAGCTGCTGTGCTGCCTGACGACGCAACTTGTGGTATTCCCGGTAACGGTGGCCAGCAATTGATGAGCTACCGGCTGGATAACTATGTCATTAAACCAGTAGGAAGCCTCGCTGCCTGCGCCAAAGATTGTCTAGCCAGGGCAGACTGCTTGGGATTTTCTTACAGTAAAGATGATACTTCCTGTCGACCTTATAGGCGCGGGACATCTGATCTCGGGATCACATATGTCGCATCAAACACAATTCGGTACTATGATAGAGCATGCTTCACATGTCCATCTTGATTATAGATAAGGGCAAGGAAGTGAGTTGTGTTATAGAGCAGGTGAACTAGTTACTATGAAATACTTGAAATAATTCCTAATCGAACATACTTATGAGAGGAAAGAAGGTGCATCCAGAACTTGAGGTTGATTGATTTTGATACTAATAATAAATACCGTGGATTTTACTGGTGTCTAGTTACCCCTTGATTTCCACTTGTATATCCTCTGATGCCACTTGCGGCTGCGGGCTGTAAGCAAAACTCCTGCGCTTTCTTATGTATATTCTATATTAAGTTAGTACTTCCAAGGCTCTTCAAGAGTAGGACTCACGAGCTCCACAAAGACAGCTAATGGACTTGACTCACATGATACCCCCAATGATAGCCATCAAAACAGGAACTCCTAAACCGACACTCAAGCCAATGATGAGCTTGTTGCTTACTCCACCCGAACTCTTTTCGAAGAAACCACTGTCGTCATTTTGTTGTTGGCCCCCGGTAGCAGTTGGTGCAAGTGAGCTAGAGGCGGAGGTGTTGATGTCTTTGGCATTATCACCAAAGCCCCTGGTACTTGCTACACTTGTGACAATCGTCTCGGGCCAGGTAACAGAGGCTCCCGCTAGCGCGGTCGTGACCAATGTTTCCATTGATTGGTATTCTTTTACTGTCTGAGCCGAAGCTGGACAGTTAATGACGCCAGATTCGATGCAGCCTTTGGCTGTATATGATTTTTTCCGACTTAGAGTGACCGTTTCTATTCCACTCTTGGATTCGGCTCTCTGGAACTGAGCTTTGGCAGTTGCTTGAGGTTCTTGACTTATACAGGTCTTGGCAAACGTGGTTGGGAGTATCGGAATCTCTGTCTGGGGCCTTGGTCCCCAGGTTTGCTGTCCGATGCCGACATAAGCGCCAGCTGCTGCCCCAATGGCGAATTGAAAGGATTCTTCGATCTGAAGTGGGCAATCTTCTTCGCCAAACGCTGTGATGTTGCTCTTCAGATCAGCAACGTTGACATACAGCGTAGTCTCTAGCCCGGCAGATGCCTTCCAATCCTCAGTATTGAAGGGCCCGAGCTCGATCTCTGGCCCGGGGAGTAGATCTGCCTCAAAGGCAAAACCTGCACGGACCGATAATCTAAGAATTGCATGAATGACGGTGCCTGACGTCTCGATCTGCACGGGGAGGGATTCGAACTTGGCGCCATCCCTGAGGCATTGTTAGCTAATCTGATCCTTCGGTGACACAGAGGAGAAGAGTCTGCCTACAATTTCACGGCTGAGGCCTCCTTGGAGAACATAGCCATCCTCAGAAGAATTCCTTCGTCGAGCTTAATGTGAAAGCCATGCTCAATTGTAATTTGGCTTTCAAGGCTGAGAATTAAATCGACCGAAAAGATGAGGCCAAGGAATAAATCAGTACCAAGCTCAACCCCTAATGGTTTGGTGAAGAGTAGAAGAGTGTATGTTAATCCAGCCCCAAACGTAGTGCTTAGCTCAACATAAAGTTCGGCATCGTCGAGTGTGAACTCCAGAATGCAATCGGGGAAATCGGGTATCTCCACTTCAAAATTAATATTCGGCGGTGGTGGAATGACAAGGGATGCTTCCGAGATGTCGAGATCTATGTCTTTGACCCATTTGGTTAGGTTCTTCATAGTTCCTGAAACACTGTTCTCCAGAGTATTATATGCCTGGCTGGCGTTGAAGTCGTCTTTTACGGTAATCTTAGCACCGGCAATGCCTTTGAAGTAGCAGAACTTGCAGATGACTTCAATGCTCGCTTCCGCAGTAGCGTTCCCCGGGGTTTCTGTGTCCCCTTTGCTACACAAGAATATTTCAGGTAAGCGATAACTTATGAATGAAGGAATCAGACTCGAAGATTCACTAACAATTTGAATACCGTCGCATTTCTGAAGCTCTTGTCAATAGAAGTGCTGTTACTATATTCTTTGTTGTCCCTTGCGGCATTTTCCAGGCGCTCTGCAAGCCTAGACAGAATGTAGGGTGAGGATGCGTCCATTTGTACAGGAACCGTCGCGCTGCCGGCATTGGCCGTCAACGTGAGCAGTGTTAGTAACACTGCGAGGATGTGTAGCCTGAAAAGCATTGTGTTATGACAAACTAACGTTGAGAAAGAAACTCTCTGACCACTGGGTGAGATTGTTCTCGGCGCGGGCTGAAAGATTTTAAAACACCTCCGCCTCATCACAGCCCCTTTGTTGCTTCCTTTTTGGTCGTTATGCTGTTGGTCGCGTTGTTTGAACATGAAGGATTCAATGTTACAGGGACCCCCAATTGCGACATGGAATCCCGAAGCCGGTTCCCCAAATAGAACAATCCATGTCACATGCGTCAATATTTCGCAATTCCCTTAAAGAAATGCGGTGGCTTTGGGGGGCCGCGGGAGATTGTTGTAGTTCCTGTAGTAAATTTTCCTTCTCTCCTGATTACAACCTGAATGTGTCTGGCTTTTCACTCGAAGCTACTCTTTATAGCTTATCTTCAGAGTATTATGACGATTTTTTTAGGTTTGGGTTGATTTCTTTTCATGTTTTAAGGGGGCATTTCGTGTAGCGCGGGCCCCTGCTCTGTTGGTTCTGTTGGTTGTTCAGCTCCATGCAACATGTCAGCCCGATGGAACTAGGTACTCAGCGGTTGGGTCAGATTGCTAGTTGTAAAAGCTTGGCAGCTTACTTTGCTTTCTAGCTGTTCCTCTGCTAACATAAGCGGCTTTATCTTAAGTTAAAGATTTGCCAGTTTCTCAGTCAACACTGGGGACCTCAAAGACAGTAGGCCTATTCCACCTTTTCCATTGCAGATTTTCGCATTAGATGAGTCCATGTTTGACAGACGATAACCTAGGTTCTTACAACAGCCTAACTGATGATTGAGAGTAAGCATGACAACCAATTGAGGGGAGTTGGAATTGCTGTGCAGCTGTAGGATTTGACCAATATTCCATCCCGTACCAAGTCTGCGAAAATACCCTAAACGTATTTACACTCATGAGGAATATTGGTGAACTGAAAGATGGAGATACTCACTCAGTTATACCGAGCTCAAAGCAGTGAAAGGTTAAGTGCAGTGACCTCAAGCATTGGGTACCTGCTTCTCTCAAAATACTCTGTCGATCGCCCGCTAACTCAGTCTCCGAGCCTTATTCATTTTGAACACTCCACCCTCTATGGCTGTATATTAAATGTAGATAGCTATTGACATTGGGAAGGGCGATCTCATTACGTTTGATCATGCGGTGGCACTGGATGATGGGCACCTACTGCCTGGCTTGATTTTTTTAGCATTGAGTGAGCCTTTTGTGTTTGCTCAAAAACTTGTATGTGCATTGGACCTAGACATTCTAGTTCCTTGTGGCGGTGGCATCCCGTTTTTGTTTCTACTGGGTTGAGTACAACCTTCGTTTCCGTTGTCACACAAAATTTAATCCATGACCGATCGCATTGGTCTCATTATTTCCTAATAAGCCATTCAGGTATCACATCCAGATAGCCATCATGAACGAAGAAGACAGCTTTTAATCAGTTGCAAGTGGAGAAAGACAGGCAAAATGACTCGATGGCAGGATAACAAATTGTGATAAATAAAACACACGACTCCGTCCCTAACTTATAAAAGTGTTGAAGAGACCTCCGAAAATTGGGGTTATATAGGTCACGTCGGATGATTTAAGCCTCTTCAGCTAGGAACGTCAATTTTGTTTCGTGGCCAATCAATGGACAGAATTATCGTTGCATCCGCGGATTGGGAGTGCTACAGACGGCCGAATTCAATGACTCGCGCTATTGTACCGAAATTTAGAGCTCAAAGTTCCGACCCGAGACACACTTCGGAGAAAATAACGCGATCCCTACATCGGGTCGGATACCCCATACCCCAACATCCGTCGGCTTTAACCTTGGGTTCAACGGCCGATGTGGACAAGGCATTATTTTCAAGAGTCTAGTGACATATTTTAGTTTTTCTGTAGGTAATGAATCATTTCGATATGCAAACTTTATTCTTGTTTCGCGTTCCTCGTACCATCAAGGGGATCCGTTGCATAACGCTCTGCTTTTAGTAAATCATTTAGATGTAACATTTATGCAGGCCTTGAAAACAGATCCAGGCTGGCCGTACCCCGAAATACCACCGAATGAACTGTGACTTTCTTTACAATAGGGTGGGGGCGGAAGAAGGCTGGTAGCAAGCCTAGAGATTGTGGCAAACCAGGATGTTGTTGCCATCTTTGCATGCTAGCGACGAAAGGGCAATGGCAACCAATTGACATAATAATCCGATGTTCATCAATAGCTAAAGGAGGCTAAAAGCGTAGTAAAAGTGGTAATACCGGCTCATCGGTGCATCACCCTCCAACAACTGTCCATCTTGTGTGCCCATCCGAGCCCGTGGGAGACGAGAACGCTCTCAATTCCAGCACACCAACTTCCATGATCGCCACAAGCTAATCTAGGCCTGATAGTGTCCAATATTTATGATCAATGGTTCCTAGAGGACACCATAGTTCACCGTTCTATCCGATCCTTGCACTGACCCCTGCACAATCGAAGGAATACGTACCATATTGTTGAGACTCCTCGTCAGGCAGAATGGGTGAAGGGATGGCGCCCACTTTCCGATGGAGCCTCCGAGTCACGGATACCAAGTCACAGGACTCCCCATCAAGTCATGAGTCTCCGCACATCAACTCAACCCCATGGAGAGGGATTGCGGGGGGGCACAAGGTGGAGCTTCCGCTGGCTCTTTACAGTAATTCAACATTTCCGAGCATCATAGCACCAGAAAAGGTTAGCAATAAAGAGCACGGAGGAAGTCAGGAAAATCGGCACAAGAACCAATGCGGGAATGCTATGCTTGAACGTAGGGAAGTCATCGACCTTCCCTACGCATTTATCAATCATGCTCCGCATCAAGGGATGCCGCGGGTACATTCGCAATTATCCGATGGTCCGTGGCAGCTCACAGCACCGAGGATGCAAACGATAGTATAGAGGCTGTCTGTACATCTGACTTCTAGATAGCCTCCACTGGTCTGATCCGAAGTGCCCCCTTTCCGCAATAGAGATATATTCTTGCAGCGTTGGTGCAGGAAGGAAGACGACCAAAGAAGAGAGGACAAGCAAAAAAGTCTTTTAGGCAATGGCGCAGACCATATTTCCGTCTTAGAATCGGTGAATCGCAGAAGAGGTAAACACATTCAACCGAGTTGTGATTTTGATCGTTCGCTCTACGGCCTTGCAGCCTCTAGCTTTGTCTTGTCTCATTGTAGGATAGTATGTTGCAAAGTCTTGGTCAGGCTACTTTGCTCTAAAAGGTAATTGTTCAGCGGATAAAGATCCGCGGTCAGCAAAGGCCCTCAGGATAGCCACCCATGCCAGTGAAGTGTAGGATGAGTAAAGCGGTCTGAGAGAGGAGTTCATGAGGATATCTTCTTCGGAAATTTAGTACCACAAAACATAAAGATATTATAGAATTATTATTAATGTCTTGAGGAAAGAAGATTGCAATGTAATCATAAGCGGATAACTAGGCATTCATCATCCGAGGATTGGGTGGCAGTTTAACCAGTCGGCATCAACTGTTCTCGAGTCAAGTCTTCCCCACACCACCCCATGAAGCGGAGGAAAAGATGGGGCTGTCTTCCAGCCCCTCAAAGTACTTAAATCACTTCCCCAGTTCTCCGGATTCTCTACTCACAGACTCAATCCCCAGGTTCTCTCTCCGGTTGAGGATACTTAAACAAACTCTGCCGTCTGTCTGTTGGCAATCCCAGATTCTCTCGAGGATTCCCAAGGGAACAACAGCGTTGGGCATTGGCTCGCTCACCAATCTCTTCCCTTTCGTTCTTTGACACGAAGTCAAAACATTGAACAAGATGGCTCCGACGGTCCCAAGCAACCTCACAGGCCATCGAGGCAATTCAGCGCGGTCAATCATGATCGCTTTGGCCATCAGTCTCGCTGGGCAAGTTCTGTCCCTGACTACCTTGCACACAAATCAAACGTCGCTAACCTTTGTAGATTTGTCAACGGTATCGACACGGGAATCATTTCATCAACGATTGCGCAGAAGACTTTCAAGTTATACATGTACGGCCCCGCCATGGACAATGTCGCCTTGAAGGGCGGTATTGTATCTGGCTACTACGCTGGCTATGCTCTCGGTAGTACCGGCGCGGCTTGGAGCATGGATAAACTCTCGCGTCGTTGGACCCTATTCATTGGCTCTATCTTCAGCGTTGTCGGTGCCGTGCTCCAAACTGCTGCTATGAACCCGGCCATGATGATTGTCGGTCGCGCTATCTCCGGTTTCTCAATTGGCATGGTCTATCCCACTGCCCCTGTATATCTGGCTGAGCTGTCTCCTCCCGAGAACCGCGGATTCCTCGTCGGTCTCAAGGGACTCTTGAATACGCTTGGTTTTTGCGTTGCCAACTGGATTGGCTATGCAGGATCTTATGCCAAGGGGGATGTCCAATGGCGTGTCCCTCTGGGTTGCCAGATCCCACCTGCTCTACTTCTCGGAATTCTTGCCCTCTTCTTGCCCTACTCCCCTCGTTGGTGTAAGTAACTTTTCTTTCAAGTATTGCAAAGAAACACATTGACTAATCAAAATATATAGTGGCTATGAAGGAGCGACACGACGAGGCTAAGAAGGTCATGTACTACCTGCAGGCCCACCGCGGCGAGGAAGCGATCGAAAGAGAGTTCTCGGAGATGTGTCAACAAATTCAACTCGAGGCCCAACGCAAGAAGATGGGCAACTTCACCACCCTCTTCACACGAAAGTATATCCGTCGCACGCTTCTCGTTTGCTTGACGGTCCAAATGATGAAGCTCTCTGGTTCCAACATTATTCAAACCTACCAGTCGATCATGTACGAGCAACTCGGCTACAAGGGCCAGACTGTCCTTCTCCTCGGTGGCTTTTACGGATTCATGGCTGTTATTGGTCAAATTCTCAACGTGTTCCTCGTTGCTGATCGTTGGACTCGCCGCGGAACCGTCATTCCCGGTTCAATGGTTCTAGCCACCTTCCTCGCGGTTCTGACCGGACTTTCTGCGAGCACAACCGACAGCACACCAGGCATCT